CCCACAACTTTTGCAATCCACGCATATAGGGAATATTCATGGAATATGGAAAAGTGCATTATAAAAAAAATAATCACGCTTGGGCAGCAAACAGCTCTCGCTGTCCTGTGCTCCCTTGCAGTGGAGTCAATAAATCTAACTCTGCTCGCTCTGCCTCACCGCCCTGGTGAATTATTTCACCACCCATGACCTTGGCCTCAGCATTCATCCTGGCCCAGCCTGGCTGCTGAAGCCATCTGGGGAATGGATCAGTGCATGGAAGAGTCTCTCTCTCTCTCTCCCTCTCTCTCTCTCCCTTCTCTCTCTCTCTCTCCCTCCCTCCTTCTCTGTCACTCTGCCTGGTCACTTAAGTAAATAATTTTTTTTAAAGCATGCTTGACTTCAATATAGTTTTGCAGCAAAATAAACTTATCTTTTAATTCCAGGTTTTCCCACGAACTCTTCGAAGTGCCTGCTTGTGATGTCCACCTCAGGACAGCGGAAGTGGAGTGGGAGTACAAAAGTTAGAAGGCAGCAGCCTGGAAATGCTGCTTAAAGCCACAGCCGTGGATACGCCCACCTAGGGGAGAAGGGCCAGGATGGACCAGCTGGAGCGCAGGAGTACAGAGAGGGCTTGGCCGCTGGGTCTGAGAAGGAGCCAGCAGTCTGGGAGGGGATGACAGGGAGATCGTGGTGTCGGAGAGGGCCTGAGAAGGAGACAGGCATGTCGGGAAGACGGGAGCCGCCACGAGGTGAAATGAGGCGCTCCTAGCAATGCTGCTCATGGACTAACGGCTACTGAGCACTGCCCCGTGCCGCCGTCTGTGCAAGCCACTATGGCAGTGTTTGGAAAAGCCCAAGGGTGGAGAAGGACCCACTCGCTTTGGTCAGGGCAGGTGATTAGCCTAGCCATGCAGGTGCTGGTGTCCCACACCAGAGTCCTTAAGTCTTACGCCGACCCAACTAGGCAGCAGGATGGTTCCTGTCACACTCACAGGAGGTCTGAGCAGTGTTCCCAGCTCTGGCCCAGCCCCAGTCATTGTGGGCATTTGGGGAGTAAATCAGCAGATAGGAGCTTGCTCTCTCTCTCTCTCTCCCTCTCCCTCCTGCTCTCTCTCTTTCTCGCTGACTCTCAAATCAATTTAAAAAAAAAAAAAAAAAGTCATGCTCAGGATATATCTGTAACTCAAAGTTAGGACTTGCTAGTGCCTTGAGGCAGGGTATGGGAATAAAGCAGGTGTTAGAATGATGGCATGCCTTAGGACAGAAGAAGCCTTGTGTGCACAACACATGTTCAAGCAAGGATGCTAAATAGGCTCTGGAGTTCAGAGGGAAGTTAGGGCTATCGATAAAGTCACCAGCCTATAAGTAACGCCATGTAACTTGATGACATCACCCAGAGAATAAGGAAAGCTCTAAAGGAACCCGAGAGGCCTCAGACATCAGGCGTTTCAGCCTGAAGGTTGGCAAGAGAAGGGTCCAGCCAAGGAAAACTGACGTCAGGAACAATCACTGAGGTAGGACAGTGGAGGGAGCCGTCTCCCCGGAATCCAGTGAAGACAGACTTCTAAGAAAAGAGCAACTGTGTTCCGCTGGGTAGGATGAGGATGAAGCGCTCACACCAGATCTGGGGCAGAGTCATTGTGACCTCAACACAAGCAACTCAGCTAAGCGGAGGATGGCAGCCTAGTTCCAGTGGTTCTCAAGAGGGTGGGAACAGAAGACATACAGATGGTAATTTCTGGACACTCTTTTGAGAATTTTTTCTTCTAAAGAAGAGCAGGAAATAGGAGTGGTACTGGAGGGGCACACGGCATTAAGGGAAAGGTGTTTTATTTTTAAGAGTTGAATAATTGTGCATGTGTGAATGCCACTAGGAAAGATCCAGAAAGTCTGCGAGAGCAACGATGCAGGAGGGGGGATAATCTTGGGGACAATGAGCTTTAAGAAGTTAGGTGGGGCTGGTGCTGTGGGTTAAATCAGGTTAAAGCCCTGGCCTGCAGCACCAGCATCCCAGATGGGTGCTGGTTCAAGTCCCAGCTGCTCCACTTCCTATCCAGCTCTCTGCTCTGGCCTGGGATAGCAGTGGAGGATGACCCAAGTCCTTGGGCCCCTGCACCCATGTCAGAGACCCAGAAGAAGCTTCCAGCTCCTGGCTTCAGATCAGATCGGCTCAGCTCTGGCCGTTGCAGCCATTTGGGGAGTGAACCAGCAGATGAAAGACACCTCTCTCTTCTACCTCTCTCTTTCAAATAATTAAAAAATTAATCATTAAAGAAAAAGGAAACTAAGTAGGATGGGATCCAATGTATGGACTAACGGGATGGCCTTTAATAGGAACAGGATAGCTTATCCATTGTGAACAAGAGAAAAGGACAGATGCTGGAAGCTTGGCAAATCCCATGTTGGAAAGAAAGGAAGATCTAGTGTGATTTCCCCTTTGCTGGGGTGGGGGGATCGTCGGTGAGGAGCGAGGAGGGAGGAAGGGACATCCGGGAAATGGACTAGGAAGAGCACTGCTGTGACCAAGCCCCGCTGAGAGCCCTGAATCACGGCATCAGGCCGCACAGTTGTTTGCCTCTGCCATCGTTATCTAACCAGGCAAGAATGATGGAGAGAGAAGCAAGGGAGTTCAGGACATATGCAAGGCAGTGGTTCCACGGGTGGCTAGGAGGAGCAGGACACCCAGTAGTGACAGGTACAGAAGAGGAGCAGGACACCCAGTAGTGACAGGTACAGAAGGGGAGCAGGGCCGACGGACTACAGGTCCACTTGAAGTTGACATTTTGCTTTAGCCAAAGGAGGGCAATGGAGGGGGAGAGTTGGAAATACACAGCCTGGAGATGAGAGTGCTTGGAACATTCTGGAAAGTGTGTGGCCATTGACAAGGGATGGGGTGAAAAATGAGATCATTTGGGGTGGGGAGGTGATACATCCAGGGGACGCTGCCACCCCCACGTAGGACGCAGCGCTGGTGAACAGAAACACGGTACACTAGAGCAGTTTCCGTGACGTGGAGGGGACAGATGCCCAATGCGGGGCGGTGGGGTGGGGAGTGAGTAGAGGATGAGACTGGAGGAAATCGACTCAGTGCAGACAAGTCTTCCGACAAGGTCTGCAGAAGGTGGTGACGGCAGGGGAAGCAGGAGTCTGAAGACGGAGCAGGGGCCAGGGTGATGTCAAGATGAGCTGTCCAGGCGTGTGTGCGCGCCTGGGACTCACTCTCTAGAAAGGGAGACATAGATGCTGCAGGAGGGAGGGGTGCAGACGGCATTTTGTCCTCTTCTGAGAGACCAGGAAAATGGACTGCAGGTGGATAAAGTGAGCTAAGCAGGCAGTGCCAAAGGACAGATGGACTTGAGGCGATGAAATTGGATAAAAGGGCCGGCGCTGTGGCTCACTAGGCTAACCCTCCGCCTTGCGGCGCCGGCACACTGGGTTCTAGTCCCGGTTGGGGCGCCGGATTCTGTCCCGGTTGCCCCTCTTCCAGGCCAGCTCTCTGCTGTGGCCAGGGAGTGCAGTGGAGGATGGCCCAAGTGCTTGGGCCCTGTACCCCATGGGAGACCAGGAGAAGCACCTGGCTCCTGGCTTCAGATCAGCACGGTTCGCCGGCTGCAGCGCGCCGCTGGGGTGGCCACTGAGGGTGAACCAATGGTAAAAGGAAGACCTTTCTCTCTGTCTTTCTCTCTCACTGTCCACTCTGTCTGTCAAAAATAAATAAATAAATAAATAAATAAATAGAAATCGGATAAAAGCAGTGAGCGCCCATGTGCAATCTTGGACAGTGAGTCACCTGCGTGGGCGCAGAGGGTGGAGGGTTTGCTGGCCTTAGCCAAGGCTGGGTTTTGTCAGGAGCTACACAGAGGGGAAGGTGTGAGAACAGTTATAATGGCAGATCGTAGAATGGAGGCCGTAGAATGGAGGAGTCAGCCAGAACATGCGACAAAAACTGGCCAGCTGAGCGACTGAAGGGTCATCATGGACAAAGGATTGCATGGGGTTGGGTCATCAGTGAGGGGTCACAGTGAGCTGATGTGGTCACAGCAAGGGCGGTAACACCCAAGTGCCACCAGTGCTGTTACCTTGTGAGCCTGGTGAGCAGGTACTGAACACTTAGTACCTGAACTCTGAGACTCGGTCAACGAATGCGTTTACATCCCAGGCAACCCGGTGCCAATCGCTGACAAAAAATAACCTCTTTTCAAGGATCCTGTCCTTTAGCTGGGGCAAATCCAGCCTGCGACTATAGGGGTGAGGTTCAAGGGGCAGCAACAAGTCACCAAGAACAGCCGGGGTGGTGTAGCCAAAGCAGCCACCCGTAGTGCTGGCATCCCTTGGGGCGCTGGTTTGAGTCCTGGCTGCTCCACTTCCAATCCAGCTTCCTGCTAATGGCCAGGGAAAGCAGAGGAAGATGGCCCACGTGCTTGGGCCCCTGAACCTGCGTGGGAGACCTGGCTGAAGCTCCTTGCTCAGCACTAGTGGCTGTGGCTATCTGGGGAGTGAACAAGCGGACGGGAGATCTCTCTCTCTCTCTCTCTTTCTGTAATTGTTTCCAAATAAATAAATCTTAAAAAAAAAAAAAAAAAAAAAAAAAACCGCAGCGAGCTCCCCAAGGCCAGATGCTGGGGTGTGGACCGACCAGGTGGTGGGGTGACACCTACCGCTCATGGAGGGCAGCCGGGGCGGGGGTCTGCAGATCAGCGACGGCGACACCAGCACCGCGCGCGGCCACACGACTCGTCTGGGCTCGCGGGGCTCCCGGAACGCGGGGGCCGTGTGGACAGCGCGGGGCGCGCGGGGCTCGTAGGGCTCGCAGGATCGGCGGGGTTCGGGGGTCTCGTCTCGCGCCTCTCCCTCCTCTTCCTCCTCGTCCTCCTCTTCCTCCTCGTCCTCCTCCTCGGTCTCCCTGCGCTCACTGTTGTGCTCCTGGAGAAGCCTGAGCATCAGGGGCTCCTGGGAGACTTCGGAACTGCGGGACGCTTCTGCCATGTCCTCCCCTTCGGTCACCTCGGACTGCACGGATGAACGTGGAAACGCCATGGGTGCTCGCGACTCTCGGCCTCGCCGCCCGCAGCCAGGCGCCGACCGCTTTCTGCGAGCTCAGTAGCCCACAGGGGCTGCCCGCGCCCAAGCCCACGCCCGCCAGCGCTGCACCTCCACACCCGGCCCCGCCCCTGGCCCCGCAGAGCGCCGCCCCGGCCACGCCCCGAGCCCCGCCCCGCACACAGCCGGGCCCTATCCTCGCCCTTTCTGGAACAGGCCCCGCCCCACGCCCACAGTCCCGCCCCCAGCCACGCCCCCGACTCCGCCTGAGCTGCTCCGCGTGCCCTGTCCGGTTGCTGCGGGACTGCCAGCTGCACCGGGATCTTTGTGCAGGCGGTGTGGCGCCAAGGAACCAAGGCGCGCCGGTGGATCCTGGGGTCGGGATGCCGGCTCCGTCCCGGTGTCGAAGGCCCTGGGGGCAGAACCGGTCAGCTGCTAGTCTGGCTGAGGCGCCGCTCAGATGCACACGGGTTTCTCCGTCGACGTTACTGGTAGTGTCTGCGGACCCTCAATCACTGCCGGCAAACGCACAGCACTTGGAATGAGGTGCTTTGGCATTAGCAGGTCGTTTCCAAGCTCAGGAGGCGTCTCGAAGGTTGGGATGTTCACCTAAGCTTCACACGCAAACACTGTGTTAACTACTGAAGGGAGCCGTGTTATTTTTGTAAATCTTGTTAATTATCATGTGTTCTCCACGTACGCGTATTATCTTTTTTTTTTTTTTTTTTTTTTGACAGGCAGAGTGGACAGTGAGAGAGAGAGACAGAGGGAAAGGTCTTCCTTTGCTGTTCACCCTCCAATGGCCGCTGCGGCCGGCGCACCGCACTGATCCGATGGCAGGAGCCAGGTACTTGTCCTGGTCTCCCATGGGGTGCAGGGCCCAAGCACTTGGGCCATCCTCCACTGCACTCCCTGGCCACAGCAGAGAGCTGGCCTGGAAGAGGGGCAGCTGGGACAGAATCCGGCACCCCGACCAGGACTAGAACCCGGTGTGGGTGTGCCGGCGCGCCGCAGGCGGAGGATTAGCCTATTGGGCACCAGCCGTGTATTATCTTTTTTTTTTTTTTTTTTTTTTGACAGGCAGAGTGGACAGTGAGAGAAAGAGACAGAGAGAGAAAGGTCACATTTCAGTTAATTTTCAACACTTAAGAATAACTGTGTGGGAATAAGAGAGGGAAGAGATGTATAATTTGGGGCATGCTCGGGCTGACTTGCCCCAATTGGTAGAGTTGGAAACATACTAGGGGATTCCAATTCAATCCCATCAAGGTGGCATGTGCCAATGCCATCTCACTATTCCAAGTGATCAATTTCAGTTCACAATTGATCATAATGAAAGGACTAAGAGTCAAAGGGAGCACATAAACAAGTCTAGTATCTGCTAACACTAACCGATAGAATAAATAAAGGGGAGAGTGATCCAACATGGGAAGTGAGATACTCAGCAGACTCATAGAATGGCGGATGTCCTAAATAGCACTCTGGCCTCAGAATCAGCCCTAAAGGCACTCGGATCTGGCTGAAAAGCCCATTAGAGTATTTCAGGCATGGAAAGCCAAGACACTCTGGCAAAAAGATCTCTGTGAGTGAGATCCCAGTGGAAAGAACAGGTCTTCAAAGAGGGAGGTGCCTTTCTCTGAAGGGAGGAGAGAACCTCCACTTTCACTATGACCTTGTCTAAACAAGATAAGAGTCGGAGAACTCAAGGGGCTTCCATAGCCTTGGAAACTCATGACTGGTGCATAGGGAGATTACTGATGCCATAAACAGGAGTGTCAATTTGTAAAGTCAACAACAGGAGTCACTGTGCACTTACTCCTCATGTAGGATCTCTGTCCTTAATGTGCTGTACACTGAGGCTTAATGCTATAACGAGTACTCAAACAGTATATTTCACTTTGTGTTTCTATGGGGGTGCAAACGATTGAAATCTTTGAAATCTTTACTTAATGTACACTAAACTGATCTTCTGTTAAAAAAAAAAAAAAAAAAAGAAACTATCAATTCCCAACTTGACTCTCACTGGGATTAAACATGACAATAGGTCTGATCTGATTTCATCATCATTTAAAAAAATCATCTATTATTTTTCACTTTATGTTTCTGTGTGGGAACAAACTGTTGAAATCCTTACTTAAGGTATACTAAGCTGATCTTCTGTATATTAAGATAATCGAAAATGAATCTTGATGTGAATGGAAGGGGAGAGGGAGTGGGAAAGGGGAGGGTGGTGGGTGGGAGGGACAGTATGGGGGGGAAAGCCATTGTAACCCATGAGACGTACTTTGGAAATTTATATTCATTAAATAAAAGATAAAAAAAAAAAAAAAAGAGAGAGAAAGGTCTTCCTTTGCCGTTGGTTCACCCTCCAATGGCCGCCGCTGCAGCCGGCGCACCGCGCTGATCCGATGGCAGGAGCCAGGATCCAGGTGCTTTTCCTGGTCTCCCATGGGGTGCAGGGCCCAAGCACCTGGGCCATCCTCCACTGCACTCCCTGGCCATAGCAGAGAGCTGGCCTGGAAGAGGGGCAACCGGGACAGAATCCGGCGCCCCGACCGGGACTAGAACCCGGTGTGCCGGCGCCGCAAGGTGGAGGATTAGCCTATTGAGCCACGGCACCGGCTCTGTGTATTATCTTTTAAATGCAATGGACCACAAGGTTTGTAATCCTGGTTTTGGCATCTTTTCCTTTTATCATTATTATTTTGTGCCTAGATATTTTTTAAAGTAAGGTTTTTCGTTCGTTTGTTTTTTTAAGATTTATCAGAGAGAGAAAGAGATGGTCCACCCACTGGTTCACTCCCCAGATGGCTGCAGTGACCAGTGCTGGCCAGGCTGAAGCCAGCAGCCAGGAGCTCCATCCGAGTCTCTCATAGGGGTGGAGGGTCCCAAGCACTTGGGCCATTTTCTGTTGCTTTCCCAGACACATTAGCAGGGAGCTGGACTGGAAGTGGGGCCGCTGAGACTCGAACCGGTGCTCATATGGAATTCCAGCGTCACAAGAGGTGGCTTAACCCACTGCACCAAAATGCTGGCCCCTAAATGTAAGAGTGTTAAAGTGAATTCCGAGGAGTGCGTCTACTCGTTTTCATCGCCAGCATCAAGCAGTAGGGCCGTGTTGTTGCTCAGTGCCTGCTCCGTGGAGGAAAAACTCCAGCCACAACGCTTGTGGCCAACACGCAGAATCGAAAATCAGCATGTGAGAAAAACAGCAATGAAGAACGAGGTGTGGTCCTCCATTCTGAACGCTTTGGTGTTACCTTTGGAATAGGTCTCTCGGAAGGTGGGTATGCTCCCGACTACCATAAATAAATATATAAAAAAATAAAAATAAAAAAACCAGATGCTGAGACCCAGGGTTCTAGCATCCCCAAATCACGGTGGGATCTGACCTCCACAGGCCAGCATAGAAGGCTTGGCATTAGACCCCCGAGGGGCTGCTGTTAGAGGTTAGCCACGATTCTGCACTGAACTTAAAGGCACACACTCCTATGATCCCATCCCTCGGCTCACGCGTGACTTCAAGTACATCCCATTCTAACCCGTGTGCTGGGTGCAAACCTTGGGAGGGGCCAGCCGTCATCGCCTTCTTTGCCTTTTGCTTTGCCACACATTCCAAACTTTAAAAGGAAGGATAAAAAAAAAAAAAAAAAAAAAAAAAAAAAAAAAACCCTCCTTCCAAATCTTGTTATGTTTCAAACCAAGGCAAGGCACGGTAGCTAACAAACAGCTGGATTTATACTGTGTCTGTAGGTATAGTTATCACTCACAAAACAGGCCTAGTGAAGAAAGGCGAAATGTCAAGAATTTCAGAACAAATCCTCAGAGAGTTCATCTAGTTGAGGAGCCTTCAAAAAGCTCACAGAGGGGCTGGCCTTATGGCGTCGTGGATAAAGCCACAGACTGCAACACCGGCATCCCATATGGGGGCTGGTTCGAGTCCCCGCTGCTCCACTTCTGACCCGCTTCCCTGCTGATGTGCCTAGGAAAGCAGCGGAAGGTGCCCCAAGTGCTCAGGCCCTTGCGCCTGCGTAGGGGATTCAGAAGAAGCCCCTGGCTGTTGCCTGACCCAGCCCTGGCTGTTTTGGCCATTTGGGGAGCGAACCAGTGGATGGAAGACCTCTGTCTGTCTCTCCCTTTCTCTCCCTGTAACTCCTTCAAATAAATCTTTTAAATGCAGAAAGTTCACAGACAATGCATATTATGAAAAAGTGTATGGATTTCAAAAATCTTTTGCATCAAAATGAACTTAATTCCATTGTCCACAAAGTGTCAAGTAGTCTTGTAGAACAGGCTCCTAGACAGACAAGAAACCTTCCCTAGTCCTTCCGGACGCTGTCAAGTTCTGTTTCTCTGTGGGTCTGAGCTGCTCACCGTCCCCACTGTCCTGTGGTACAGTTCTTTCTTTGAGGGCTGAAAGGATCCATTAGATTTTTACTTGAAAGAGAACGTTTATTAAAATATATTCATATGAATTTCACATCATTGATAAAAACCACCAATGGGATGAAGGCTTGCTAATGTTCATTTCACTCTTGTTGATTAAAAATCCCATTCCCCCCCGCAAAACACATCGTTTTATAAATATTAATGTTCAAAATCTAAATAAAGGGAAGCTTTCAATAAGTTAACGTTAATCTCGGTGCGTGTGCCATGCACTGAGAAACCAGGAAAAGGCTCATGTTTTATTTCACAGTGGAAACCTCTGGCTCTGAGCCTGCCACTCTCAACACTCTGGGGTGACACAAGGCTTGGGGCCGGTCACTGCGCGTCTGCAGCCAGCTGGGCAATCAGATCTTTGGCGTCCTGCATGCTGGAGGGTATCTCTGAGCCGTCCTCCGTCACTTGGGTCCCAAACAAGAACAGCTTTCTGTCGTTCCCCACCTCGGAGAGCGCCAAGGCCTCGTGGATGTCTGTGATGTGATAGGCTTCCTCCAGATCCTGCACCGGGGAGGAGAAAGAAGGGGAAGAGGTTGGTTATACTGCTGGCTAGGTGGCATAGTAGGGTAAAGCTCCAGCCTGCAGTGCCCGCATCCCATATGGGCACCGGTTCGAGTCCCGGCTGCTCCACTTCCAATCAAGCTCCCTGCTAATGCACTTGGGAAAGCAGCAGAGGATGGCCCAAGTCCTTGGGCCCCTGTACCCACATGGGAGACCTGGAAGAAGCTCCTGGCTCCTGGCTTTAAATTGTCTCAGCTCCGGCCATTGTGGCCATCTGGGGAGTGAGCCAGCAGATGGAAGACTTTTCTCTCTCTCTAACTCTCAAAAAAAAAAAAAAAGATTATTTCCTAATGCCTTTGGATGAATGAACTTATTCCTTGTATTTGTTGCTCTCTGTGGTTCTACCAGTTTAACATAGAGGACACTGTGACCTCATTAGGATGACAGCAGTGGTAGTTTGAATAGAAATATCTGTGTCCAATTTATGCCAGAGTTTCTATGATATCAAAAAACATCTTCTGGAATGAAAAGAAGTCAATATAATACTGTAATTTTCCAAACCGTGCAGTCAATCTGTTTCTAATTTTAGTTTCCATCTTCTAAGATTTCTTTCCATAGGATCAATTATTTTAAATTGATATTTAACAACAAAAAATTTGATTTATTGGTTGTTGGGTTTTGTTTGTTTTTTTTTTTTTTTTTTTTTTTTTTGGTCCCCGTAATATTTTCTATTTTCTTGACTGTTACACTGGCCACTGTGAATGTTTCTTTGTGAACATTATTTCCACTGAACAAAAATATGGTGGTGGGTTGAGGGAGGAGAGAGGACCAGGAAGTGGGGGGAGAGGCCAGGAGGGGAGAGGCAGACACAGGTGGAAGGGGAGCCTTTGAGGCTGGAACCCCTCCCCAGAGGCAGAGCAGCCCGGCTTATGCTGCACGCCAAGGTTAAAGTCCCCTTGGAGTAAAAATAATAAGCTCAAAACATCCTTTGTTGCCGCTCATAGACCAGGAGTTGTTTATGCAAATGACCTCTGATCCACAAACACACAGGTTCCCCTGTGATTTTCAGTCCTCTGCAAGCATTTGGGCATTTTCTCTTCTACACTGCATCTGTCACTGGCTCTTGTTGTCCCACAGCATCCCCCTAAGCTACAGGGATCATGTTGGACTCCGGGAATAAACCAAGGGGGCGTCATTCTTTTTTCCTGACCAACACAAACGTATCAAGCTGCATGGCGAGGAGCCTGTGAGGTTTTCCTGATGCACATCCGTGGTCACCCCTGGAGCTCATCACTTCTCTGGATGTTGGCAGTCACGGTATAGCGCTTGCTTGAAAGCTGAATTCACTTCGTCTTAGCGTCTACAGGCTCTTTTATAACTGTGTTAACGGGCCCAGACATATGGGGTGACGCCTCAGCTTCATAAATTCACTTCTGGAATTGGAGAGGAAGAAATGGGGGTGGGGGTGGGGTGCTGGGTGGGAGGTGGGGCTCCCTGTAATGACAAAGCCCACCAAGTACAAATCCTGGGCGTCTTCCTTACTCCCACCCAGGGCTGCCAACCAGATCATCAGGCAGAGTGAAGAGGAGATGCCTTTGAGCAAACTCTCAGATAATAGCTTGGGCCAATGAGTTGAGTCATCGAAAAGCAGACTAAATAATTCAGCCAAAGAATATCTGCAAATACGCATTAACCTTAAACCAGGATACTCACATCTTTTTGTCATTATGCTCCAGTAAAAGTTATACATTTGACAACGAATGGCTCTGATGAAGGTAAAAAATACAAGCCACAGGTACTGATGAACTTGACTATTGAAAATGGAAATATTTTCTGAAATGTGGAAACCACAAGCAAAGTAAAATGACAAGCCACTAGGATGTGGGACAAGATCTGTGTGGGCACATAGCGAACAGAGGATTATTTTTCCAAAAGGTATGAAAAACTCCTGCGGTTTAAACAGGAAAAGAACCCCGGGAGGAATTTGTGAAGAGATATTAACAGACAATTCAGAGATGCAAACCGATAACCAATACACATCTGAAAAAGATGCTGAGACTCACTGGTAATTAAGGAAATGTAAATTAGAATAATAAAATTATTTCACCCTCAACAGATTGGCAAAAATAGAACAAACCTGACAACACCAAGTATGGACACAGGTGTGGAGCTGCAAAAACTGTCATCCCCAGAGACATTTAGTATTTTTAATGCATGTATGAACTAAGGTCTGATTGGTCTAAAACAAAACTACTCCTTTAAAAAATTTTTTCAGGGGCCAGTGCTATGGTGCAGTGGGTTAAAGCCCCAGCCTGCAGCACCGGCATCCCATAAGGGTGCCGGTTCAGGTCCCAAGCTGCTCCACTTCTGATCCAGCTCCCTTCTGATGGCCTGAGAAAGCAGTGGGAGGTGGTCCAAGTGCTTGGGCCCCTGCACCCATGTGGGAGACCCAGAAGAAGCTCCTGCCTCCTGGCTTTGGCCTGGCCCAGCTCTGGCCGTTGTGGCCATTTGGGAAGTGAACCAGCAGATGGAAGACCTCTCTCTCTCTGTGTCTCTTACCTCTCTCTGTAACTCTTTCAAATAAATAAAAATAAATAAAATTTTTTTCATTTATTTCATTTAGTTGAAAGGCAGAGAGACAGCTCCCAACTCAAAAGTTTATAACCCAGATCTAACAAATACAAGTCGAGTGTCGGGCCTAGCAATACAGACGCCAGTGTCCCAGACTGGAGTCCTTGGGGTCAAGTCTTGGCTCCATTCCTGATTCTAGTTTACTGCCAGCTTCCTGCCCGTGTACATCCTGGGAGGCAGCAGGCAATGGCTCAAGTAAGCGAGTTCCTGCCGCCCATGCACGTGACCCAAACTGAGTTAGGTGCCAGCTCCCAGTCTCAGCCTGATCCAGCCCCAGCTGTTGGGGTATCTGGGGAGTGAGTCAGAGCGGGGGGCTCTCTGTCTCTGTCTTTGCCTTTCTCCCTCTGACTCATATAAATGTGTGTGTGTGTGTGTGTGTGTAAACACAACTCCTGGTACAATTTCTATGTGCACAGCTCTTACCTGCTTGTTTGCAAACACTACCAGAGGAAGAATCGGGTTTGCTTCGATGAGCTGGTGAAGGTATTTCTTGGCTTCCGGTAGCCGTTCGTGATCTGCTGAGTCCACCACGAAGATCAGTAGCAATCCCCTGGGCAGGTACGCTTCCCAGTGAGAACGGAAAGGCTCGCTGCCGCCAACTACCCGGAACAGTAGGGGAAGAAGACAGAACAGAGATCACAGAGGGGCCCGCCCAGGGGGCAGTCGGGCTCAGCAGGACGACTTCAGGGGAGATGCCACCAGAGGGGTGTCCCGGGGTGGGGGTGGGGGGACAATTACCCTTCACAGGTGGTCCATTCACTTGGAACCACAAAGGGTCAACACAGAGACACGGAGCACTACAGCACATGTCTCCTGTTCCTGTTAAACCGGCAGCCCCCTGCAGCCCTGGCATGCTCACCAGTCACAGCTCAGAAAATGGGAGTAAGTTTCCAAAGTAAGTAGGGTGGTGGGTTGTAACGCACATTACTCTAAAATCATCTTTAAGTGCAGTGAATTCACTGGTCAGTCCCACACAATTATTTTCCTTTATCAGAATCCCAGAAATAGTTCCCCCCTTCACATTGGATTGAGAGTTCATAAGACCCTGTAGGTATTAGGAATATTGGTTTCAGAAAGGAAATGCCTTTCGATTAACTTATTTCATTCTGCTGATTCTTGCCAGAACAAAGTTTTCAGTTAATTATAATATATACACAATGGATTTATTTTTAATTTCTCTAGGTTGGGAGTTGGCAAACTATAGCTAACCACCTATTTTTTGTATTGCTCCAGGAGCTAAGAATGGCATTTATATGAGTGGGGGAAAACAGGAAGAATAATGTTTTATGACACATGAACACCATATCAAATTCTGACTTCTGCGTCCACAAATGAAGTTTTGTCCGAAGGCAGTCGTGTTTCCTTACCTGTTGACCATGGCTGCTTTCATACGCGACAGCAGAGCTGAGTCATTACAACAGAGACTGAGTGGCCTGCAAAGCCAAACACTTCACTCTCTGTCCCGCAAGAGAGAAGCTCACGGGCCTGTGTTTAGGAACCCAGTAAAGCCATCGCAAATACCAATAGGAAAGGATCTTTGCCTTTCTGTTATTTCCTTTGTATAGAGCTAGGATAGTCACTCTTAGAAATATTTTTGTGTTTGAATTTGCTAAAATAATGCTATGTAAGCAACTCATATAGTTTGTGAGAAAGAGAGACAGAGAGAAAGATCTTCGTTCCGGCCGGCGCCGCAGCTCACTAGGCTAATCCTCCGCCTTGCGGCGCCGGCACACCGGGTTCTAGTCCCAGTCAACGCACCGGATTCTCTCCCGGTTGCCCCTCTTCCAGGCCAGCTCTCTGCTATGGCCCGGGAGTGCAGTGGAGGATGGCCCAAGTGCTTGGGCCCTGCACCCCATGGGAGACCAGGAGAAGTACCTGGCTCCTGCCATCAGATCAGCATGATGTGCCGGCCGCAGTGCACTGGCTGCGGCGGCCATTGGAGGGTGAACCAACAGCAAAGGAAGACCTTTCTCTCTGTCTCTCTCTCTCACTGTCCACTCTGCCTGTCAAAAAAAAAAAAAAAAATCTTCCTTCTGTTGGTTCACCCCCCAAATATCCACTATGGCCGGCACGCTGCGCCAATCCAAAGCCAAGAGCGAGGTGCTTCCTCCTGGTCTCTCACACAGGTGTAGGGCCCAAGCACTTGGGCTATCCTCCACTGCCTCCCTGGGCCACAACAGAGAGCTGGACTGGAAGAGGAGCAACCGGGACAGAACTGGCGTCCTAACCAGGACTAAAACCCGGGGTACCGGCGCCACAGGTGGAGGATTAGCCTAGTGAGCTGCGGCACCGGGCAATAACTCAAACAGTTGTAATACACTTAAATATCAGTGCAAAGCGGGTTAAGCCATTGCTTGGGATGCCCGCACCCTATACTGGATGCCTGGTTCGAGTCCTGGCTGCTCCGCTTCTGATCCAGCTTGCCGCTAGTGTGCACCCTGGGGGGCAGCCGATGGTGGCTCAGGCAGTTGGATCCCTGCCACCCATGCAGGAGACGTGGATGGAGTTCTCAACTCCCAGTTTCCGTCTGGAAACAGCCTTGGCTGTTGTGGTTATTTGTGGAGGGAGGCAGTGGATGGAAGATCCTTCTCCACCTATTTGTCTTTCGAAAATGTGGTTTTTAAAAAATGTATTAATTTTATTTAATTAATTATTAATTTTGTTTTTAAAATAAGTGTTAAAATATTACTCTTTGCAATTAGACAAAAACAAAAGTCAAAAGATGACTGTGGTAATCTGAGCAAGATGTGGTGGAGGCTCTGACCCACGTGGGGGCAGTGGACAAGGATGTCACCAACCAACCTGAGATGTCTTGGGTTCACTGCAAGGTGGGGACGGAGGAGGAGAAAGCAAGGAACTCCGGGTTTCTGACTTGGGCAATTTGATGGATGAGGAGCCTTTTACTTCCCAGAGGATTACAGAGAAAGGAACAGATATGGGATAAACGATGAATTTTTTTATTTTTATTTTTTATTATATATTTTTTTGACAGGTAGAGTTATAGACAGTGAGAGAGACAGAGAGAAAGGTCTTCCTTCTGTTGGTTCACCCTCCAGTGGCCGCTACGGCCGGCGCTACCCCAATCCGAAGCCAGGAGCCAGGTGCTTCCTCCTGGTCTCCCATGCAGGTACGGGGCCCAAGCACTTGGGCCATCCTCCACTGCACTCCCAGGCCACAGCAGAGAGCTGGACTGGAAGAGGAGCAGCTAGGACTAGAACCAGTGCCCATATGGGATGCCGGCGCCGCAGGCAGAGGATTAACCAAATAAGCCAGGGCACCGGCTCCAGTGAAGAACGTTTTTAAACCACAGAGGTTGGAGAGGCTCAGCAGACACTCTAGGTGGAGATGCCAGGAGACAAGGATATGTTTGGGCTGGTGTATACATTTGGGAGTCATTAGCATAAAGATGGTATCTAATATTGTGAGGATGGCTGGAATCATCCGGTGGGGGGGCAGGAGGAGAGAGAGGGGAGAGAGAGAAAGAGAGAGAGAGAGAGAATCTTCCATGTATAGGTTCACTCTCCCCAAGTGGCCAGGGCTGGGCCAGGCCGAATCCAGGATCCAAGAGCTTCACCTGGGTCTCCCACGCGGGTGGCAGGGGTCCAAGCTCTTGGGCCATCTTCCGATGCTTTTCCCAGGCCGTTAGCAGGGAGCTGGCTCGGAAGCAGAGATTTACCCACTACGCCACAACGCCAACCCCAACTTCCATCTAATCAGCAGAGGTCTGGGGCTTGTCTGCCATTTCATTGCAGAGAAGGAAGCACGCTGCACTTAGATGGCTTGTTCATGTGTGGTAGTGTGGGAGCAGGGATGACTGCAGGGGGTGCTGGAGCCTCGTCCCACACTCCCCTTAACATCACCGCCGCAAAAAGGAGAAAGTTTAAAAGCCAGGAAGTGCAGCCTCCACTGCTGCAGCTTAAACAGCATACACACATGCTAAAAGTTTAGGAAAAGCTGAGCCAGTGCTGCTTGTCACAGGACCCAAGTTTGCTAACATCACGGTTGGCTTAGGGTCTGAGGGCGGGACGTTGTGGTCTGGCAAATTAGGCCGCTGCTTGGGATGGCCACGTCCCACACTGCAGCGCCTGGGTCAAGTCTCAGCTCCTCTGCTTCCAATCCAGCTCTGCTGCTGGTGTGCCTGGGAGGCAGCAGATGATGGCCCAAGGGCTTGGGTCTCTGCCACCTACACGGGAGGCCCAGATGGAGTTTTCTGGCTCCTGGCTTCCGCCTGGCCCAGTCCTGGCTATTGTGGGCGTTCAGGGAGTGAACCAGTGGATGCAAGCTCTCTCTCTCTTTCTCTTATTTTCTCTGCCTTTCAAATAAATAAATCCTTAAAAAAAAAAAATCTCCTGAAATGCAACTACCCACAACCGGGGAGAAAGAGTGCTTACTCTCCAGGAACTCCATTTGGCTGTCTTCCGTGTTGATGCAGACTTCATTGAAGCCCTCAGTGGGTGCCCTGCTGTGCTGGATTCTGTTTGAAGCCAGAGAGTGGAGCACACTGGTTTTCCCCGCTCCATCCAGGCCCAGTACCAGGATCTGCTTGTTTTTCTCCTATGAAACAAAAACCAAATCAATAAATCTGGGCTGCCAGGGCCTTGGTCTTCGGGCTCTGGCAGCTTCCTTGCCTGTGGTAAAACCCAGTAATAACCGTGGAAGTGTAACCCGGCACTAACTGTTGCAGAAAACGTTTTCTAGGTCTAGAACTGTCCCAGTCAGTGAATCTCTTCTAAGTATCCATTAGTTATGTGATACTAATCTCTTATCCTCCATCCAACTCTTGTTCAGTGTATCAAGTAAGTGACTTTCTCTCTCAGGACTTAGGTCATGGTTCACAGGGCCAGTTTTCACATTTTGCTTCTTAAGTTCATGTCCGTTGGAGGCTGCACCAGGACTGTGTTTGTTTTGGGGGTCCGTGGTGCACCTGTTGACTGAGCAGCTCTGCCTGTAGGCATTGTAGGCCTCACATTATTATCAATCCTACTGTCTTCACCATTGGAGGGCTAGGTTATAAGATCTTGGGCAAGGCTCCCCTTTGCAACACAAGCATCATGATTAAATGTAAAGGTTAGGGTGATAGAAATTGTTAAGTCAGTTACAATCACAAGTGAGAATTTGTTACATAATGTGATATTAAAAGCTGATGAACTAGACCTAACCTCAGAAGCTTTCTACCAGGCTTACTTAGAAAGAAGCTTTCTACCAACAAACCAGCCTTAGAAATCTTTATGGCAAAAGACCAAGGGACAAGAAGGGCAGGCTGGCGTAAAGACAAAAACGTAAGGTCCAGAGCACTCAGAAGTGTAGCTCCTATGGTGCAAACCTTAAACATTTATTTACTTACTTATTTAAAAGACAAAGGAGAAAGACAAAGACAGAGACACACAGCTGGTCTTATGATTCCCTCCCCAAATGCCTACAACAGCCAGGACTAGACCAGGCCAGTGTCAGGAGTCAGGAACTCCATGCTTGTCTCCCACCTGGGTGGAAGAGACTCAGGTACTTAAGCCATCCCCTGCTGCTTCCCAGCGTGCACATTAGCAGGAGGCCAGATTCAAAAGCAAAGCCAAGACTTGAACCCAAGCACTATGATGTGGGAGGCGGGTGTCCCAAGTGGTGCCTTCATGCCCACCACTCCATGGCGCAAACTTTACTGTCAATCAAACAAAGGACCAATAATAGAGCCGTACTGCTCACAGGAATTCAATTCTGCTCCCAAAGAAACTTCTCGCACACAACACACTAGTAACCGTCTTCAATGCCACTGGTTTGGGAGCAGCAGTCTTGCACCTGCCTGCTTGTTTGCATGAATGTTGACACTGGACTTAGGCTGGGTTTCTGGAAAAAAGTGACCCTACACCCGTTTAGACTATCCATCGTGCCTCCTTTTTAAAAAAGATCTATGTAGAGGCAAGATGTTTGCAGGTCTGGCCTACTGGAGACTTGTATGGAGTCATATGTAGGCCATGTAGTGAGTAACAGAACTGGTGGGGGGGGACCCACATATTTGTTCTTAGAGCGAATTCTTGTTGGCTCTTAAAGCAAGTGGTTTTATCAGAATGTAACTGCACTGAATACCTCTTTCTCTTCCTCTTCATATTCTGATGAACAAAAGCTAACCACTGGTCTTGTGACTAAGGAGAGTGGCTGTTCTAACAAACAATGCTTGCTTGTGAATCGCAGAAGCCAGCCTTGAGAAAGGCAGCTCAAGTTGCAAGGTTAATTTAGCCCTCTGCAGCCTGCACGGCTGCAGTTTGGGATTTATTGGAGCGGACTGTACAGGAGGAAGAAAAACTAAGGGCCCAATAAGCATGGGCTCTAGGCTGAGTGAGCTCCATCCTGACGGACGACACACTGGACTCTCCTAGCACAGCACTTGCCTCTTTCAGAACTCAGCCGAAGAACGTTTTATGTAGCTGCACAGTTGTGTAGACGGTGCTGCTATTCCCTGCTCACGATAAAAGTTCCTCAAGGAATTGCGTTGATGTCCGTAATGGGTAAATGCCCTACTGCAGACCTGCAACCGGCCTTGGCATCTATCGACTCCTCCCTCGCTGTGAGTCACTGCTCAGCAGACCAGTGTTCACTGCTTGAAAGCCCAGTTCCAGACACCCCCTCCCCTGTCTGCTACGGTCCTCATCTGCCAGTAGATGAAACTCTCTCTCCTCCATCCTCAAACCTTGCCTTCATTCTTCTGATTCAACGCAGTGGACAAGGACTGGATTTGGGGGGTGAACCAATGGAAGGAAGACCTTTCTCTCTGTCTCTCTCTCTCTAACTCTGCCTGTCAAAAAAAAAAAAAAGTGTTTGTGCCCTATCCTCCCACATCTAAATGCTACAACCATTCCGCAACTGTGCCATGGTGAAGAAGAGGGACTAGACCCACAATGCCTGCTTGGAACCAGCACTTGTACCAAGTGCCCGGGGTGCAGTGCCAGCTTTGCTCCTGATTCCAGCCCCCTGCTCATGCACACCCTGGGAGGCAGCTGCTGGTGGCTTCAGTACTTGGATTCCCACCACCCACATGGGAGACCTAGAAGGAGTTCCTGGCTCCTGACTCGGGCCTGACCCACTAGTGCCTCATGTGGGCATTGGGAGAGTGAACCAGTAAATGGAAATCTCTTTCTCTCTCTCTTCTCTCTCTCTGCCTCTCCCCCTCCCTCCCTGTCACATCAAATAAACTTTGAAAAATAAAAGTGCATGCGTTCAAGGAAGAGTGGCACCAAGAAATGGGTTGCCAGTCATGGACCCATTCCCCCACCCATCAGGGGCCTCCTCTGGTTACCCTCCATGTACTTCTAAGCTGCACACCCCCTGCCCCCATCCTCCCCCCCACACACACATTTTAACATCTCTGAAATTGGAACATGTTTCACAGTAGGTAGGATGCTGTATTTTGGTTGGCAGAATTTTTTCTTTCTTTCTTAGTGGGACCTAAACTATTAGCATCTTGGACCTTGCGCAGTATTGTGAATTAAGTCGGTTCCGCACTCTCTTCCGGGACACGCTGCTGCCCCCAAGCCCATCCTACCTAGAAATCCTGCGCTCACTCGTGCTCTCCAAGGGTACAGATGTGACATTTGTGGTGGGAATCTCGCTGTCCTTTGTCAGAATCCATTCCTTTGGCAAACACGGATCTCCGTGGCTCGCGTTTTATTAGAGAGCAAGTCTCCGTTAATAGCTGAAATTGGTACAGGCAGGAACTGCAGCGCACCGGGCCCATCGAGCTGACCCAGGTGAGGCCTGCTTCTCCGAGAGCTCTCAGCCCACCCCTGCCCCGCAGGACGCTGCAGGTCTGACAACCAGGCAGGCACACATCCCGCGCGGGGCCCAGAGGCGGCCGCCGGCAAGCGTGGATGTCTCCAACCGACCATCGCGGTCGGGTGGGCGCTGCGCCACGGGCCCGGCGCTGGACAGAGCCCGGCCGCTGCGGGGCCCACGCCGCGTCCCGCAGGCCGATGGGGGCCTCTTCGGCCTCCACGCGGGCTTGGGGGGTCCGGGCGGAGCTGGGGACACCGTCACTCGAGGCTCGCACCTCCCCTTCCACCCGCGGGACACCCGATCCTCGGCGCGCGGCTCGGGGCTGGGACGTAACAGAGCCGGCGCCCGGGCGGCCTCGGCGTTCGTGGCCTGGGAGGCCAGGGTCCCGCGCGGCCGTCTCTTACCGGCAGCTGCGGCGGGGTCCCCGCCACGGTGGGGCCGCTCTGCCCTTGCTTTCCTCTCGGCCGTTCCTTCTCGGCCTCAGCCTCGGTCTCGGCCTCCGTCTCCGACCGGTGTCCCCTCCTCTCCGTCTCGGTCTCCGTCTCGGTCTCGGCCTCCGTCTCGTTCTCGGCCTCCGTCTCCGATCGGTGTCCCTTCCTCTCCGTCTCCGACCGGTGACCCTTCCTCTCTTCCTCCCCGCTCCTCTTACTCCGCTCCTTCGCTTTTTCTTTCCCCTGATCCTTGCCTTTCCTCCAAGTTCTCTCCTCCCTTTTCACTCCGCCCCTCTCCATCCCCACCGCCTCGGATCCCTCCCCGGCCCCTTGGCGCAGGGCCCCGGCGGGTGTGGCCCTCGCGGGGGACGCAGGACCGCGACGTAGCGGCTGGTGGCGTAGACTACCCCCGCGCTCCCCGCCTGCCCCAGGGCGCACAGCAGCCCGACTCGCCGAAACCCCGAGGCGGAGGAGGGAAGGGCGGGAGCCCAGGCTAGGGGACGAGGGAGGTCCCGAGTGGGCGTGGGGACCGCCCGGGGCAGGGAACGCGCCGCCTGGCGCCACTCTCCACAGCAGGGCTCCCTTGGCCAGGCAGGGAGGCTCAGGCGCTCTGAGCCGCCTGAGGCGTCTGCCCCGCCGGTGTCCCCGAGTGTCCTCCCAGGGCTCCAGGCCTTCGCCGCTCGGAATGCCGAACCAGGAAAGGCAAAATCGCGACCTCTCCCGGGCCGGTCCCTGTGAACACCGGGGGCGGGGTGGGGGTGGGGGTGTCTGCAGCCCGTTAAGGACGCGTGGGGAAATGTGAACCCTTGTACTCTCGATTTCTTGTGGCTTTTAAAAGCGCGGGGAAGGAGGGTGGTGGGCACAAGCTGCACCCCACACCCCCTATCTCAGGGCCTGGTTTAAGTCAAAGCTACCCAGCTTCCCGCATCTGATGGCTCCAGTACTTGGATCCCTGCCATACACATGACGCTCCTGGCCTCCGCCTGGTCCAGTCCTGCCTGATGCTGGCATTTGGTGAGTGAACCAGCAGAGGGAATCTTTCCATCTATCTAGCTTTTCAAGTAAAAGGAAAATAAACTGAAAAGCAGAAAAAAGCCCCTATGCTGGAGATGTGGAGATTAACTCCGTGCCGGGGCCGTGGCTGCTGGCGGCAAACCAACACTGCAGCCCAGCTGCACGGTTCACACGTGGGAAACTTTGCCACCTCGGTTTCAAACAGCCTCGAGCCAACAGCCGGTGGACTGCAGGTTGCAGACGCAACTGTCTGAAGGTTAGCTGTTTCCCTTAAGCTTGAAAGTGCTGTGCTTAATATCCTTGTGTTTATTTATAGACATAACCAACATGATGAACTCTCGGCAGTTTAAAACGGGTTCTCTCAATCCAACTGTATCAGTTTTGTGGCTCTGGTGGGAGGGGCAGGAGATAGTTTAAAATACTCAATTTAAAAGAAAATTCTTATAGTAACCAGAAGTCCTCCATAAAACGCTGACACCCAAAGCATGTTAACCCATAATCCATAGTCACTGCTACAATGTTATTTCAACATGTCACAGTGAAGAGACCTATCCATATTGGGTCATACTGCTCATTCTCTGTCTCTCTCACACACACAGGATGTGTCTATGTCACTGGCTAAGGGGCCGGCCACACACACACACACACACACACACACACACACACACAGAGGAAGTGTCTATGTCACTGGCTAAGAGGCCTATCCAAGAGATGAAATAATTACCAGAAAGTTAAGGCAGATGTCTACTTCATTTGACAACTGTAACTTATTTATTTGAACTGAGGTTTTAGTTAGGGAACAATGGCAGTCAATAACAATGACTACACAAAAAATTCTAAATTTCACTGTTGTGCCTTGGGTCAAAATTTTCAATGATGGATAATTTTCACCAAGATCCTGTTGCTTTGTTAACCAAAGAAAGTATCCTTCACCACAGGAAAATAATGGAATCGGTCCAGAATAACAAGGTTACCAACAGTTGCTGGTGTATGGGCTGTATATTCAGAAGGAAGAAATATCTGTCACACCAGCCAGAAGACTGTTCCCTGTGAGCTCAGAAAAGGATTGTGCCATAATAAACCATTCTGATTTTAAGCAGATCTCATTTAGGCACCACTGTAGACCCTCATTATGCTAAACCAAAAGGCAGTGCCCCATCTCTTACCTTGTAAAGGAGGAAAACCTTTGTAACAACTATGAAGAAGTTTCAATAAATGTGTTCAGATTCAAACAGCAGCACTTTATTAACAAGGACAGAGTAATCTGATCACAGGAAATACTTATAAGTTTAGAATAAATGATTTGGGGCAGCAGAAAATGAGTACTAACAAGGGCAGGCGTCCCAATGTGTCTCTCACAGCTGTTCAGTGTGAAGCTGGCTTGTAAGCAGGGAAAGACAAGGCAACACTTACGCAAGTCCCCTGTAAAATACTTCATTACTTTCAAAGGGTCACCAACCATCATAACCCGTAACTAGAAAAGGAAGCCTGTTAACTGGGCCAAATAGTTCTGTTAGATTTTAACGCTGCCTGGTACTGATTTTCTCTCTATGTAATGAAGCCAATGTTCATGTTTTTGGTAGGGGTCATTAACCTTTCTGATAGAGACAGTTCAAAGCCATCTCATCTCAGAACACTGGGTCTAAGACTCAACTTCTTGCCACATTGACACATCTCCCTTGAAGTCTTCAGTGATGTTACGTCAACATGTTAACATCATCTGAAAACCCAGTGCGCACCAATGAGTCATTCGTGTATACAAATAAATTATGGAGAGGGTCCCGTATCTAGAATCACATGCCACAACTTATGGCTAAAATGACTTCTTGTGGCCACTCAAGAACATCAGTGTTTTAATAAGGTCCCTTCTGAACGAACACAGGACATTTCTAAGCAGGTATCTGGAATGCTCAGAAGATTCTACTTTCAGTCTCTGTGGGCCTCCTAAGCCGTAACTGAAAGTGGGAACGAGTGTCTTCTGACTGGAGCTGAAAGAGCAGAAAACAGTTTCTGTCTAAATCCTGGGAAGCCGCACATGATGTGCCTTTTTGTGAAACAGAGAAGAGCAAATCCACACACAAAGATAAAGGAAGCAACAGACATCAAGGTGCAGCAATGCCCAATCATTCTCAGTCATCACCTGCGCAAAGCTGGGGCACAGTGGGCCAGTTCTGCCGGGGTGGACTGGGGAGGATGTGCTGTTTGATGCCCGAGAAAATGATTGTACGACAAGATGGGGATGGAAGAGGGAGCAGCTCTGTGCTTCTTGCTCTGTTGCCTTTATTATGTTCCTAGTGCCACTGAGACCAGTTAAAAACAGCCTACGACAGCAATGTTCTCATCACCAACCACCTTTTCCACCTTTCTTCTTTTTCTGTTGCTGTTTCTTTTTTGCTGCTGGCGCTCCTGCAGGTTTCTGGTGTCTCGGGGGGATGATGTTACTCGTGGAGGCAGACACGGCTGCTGCACTGCCAGGCCTTGGAGACGTGGGCGGGCTGCTCACGGTTTTACTGGCGTCCCTGAAAGCACCAGAGCAAGGACGTTCCGGTCACTCGTATATTCAACGAAAGGCATAAAAATGCCTGTACGTGGACTTGACTTTATACACCCAACAACCTCCCACATACTCTCTACTTCTTGAAGGTGGGTCCCCAAAACTCTATTTTCCTTTTGAATAAAATTTTCACTGTTTTATAACCTGCCAATTTTCACAAGAGTAAGGAAAATATTTTGAATGATCTGTGTTAATATTTAATACTTCTAGTAATTACTATCTATTTATCCATTTAGTTGGTTGGATGACACAGTATGTGTAATTTCTTTTTGCAACTAATAGTCATTATAGAAGTTTTAGTGCTTACAATTACAATCAAATAAGAAATATATTTTATGTAAGTATATTGTAAATACTTATCAAAGATATGACTATACCTCTCATAATTGAAATCTATGAACCAACTGGCACCTATAGATGTGAGCGAGTATCAGAAAGAAACCACCAGCAAGTTGAAGTGAGCCCAGCCGTGGGCGAGGACGTACAGTTCAGACGACGCTGCCGCAGTCGCTCCCTGTGTCCCCTTTCCAATCTGGTCCTTCTTCTTCCCCTTCTTCCGTCCTCGATAGTAGGAACGTTCTCGCATTGGCAGCCACCTTTCTGGATCCGGGGTAACTTTTGGGTCATAATTCTTAGGCAGCTTTCCTGTGTAACAGTTCACAAAAAATGGGAGATGTACACAGAATATTTTCAAGACGGTTTGTTAAACAATGTATTCAAGCCTAGAAGTAACCTAGGAGTAACCTAGGAATAACCAAGGAGTAACACCGAAACCGAAATGTATCTGACAAATCTTCATTTTTATCATCTAGTGGGGGAAGGGCATCTGTAAGCATAACTGAAAATTCAGAGGTCATAAAGGAAAAACTTTCACACATACATAACATGAAACAGAGTGGATTAATATCCCTAATTCAGAAAGAGTTTTTGCTAATCAATGGATCACTCAAAGAAAAATATGAAATTAAGATTTGAGTAAACCAGTAGAAATAAGTCATTAAACATATGCATAGACAGTCTAATTAAACATGATAAGGGCCAGGCAGGCAGTTGGCCTCAGCGAACAAGACACTGTTGAGGCCGGCGCCGCGGCTCACTAGGCTAATCCTCCACCTCGCGGCGCCGGCACACCGGGTTCTAATCCCAGTTGGGGCACCGGATTCTGTCCCGGTTGCCCCTCTTCCAGGCCAGCTCTCTGCTGTGCCCAGGGAGTGCAGTGGAGGATGGCCCAAGTCCTTGGGCCCTGCACCCGCATGGGAGACCAGGAGAAGCTCCTGGCTCCTGGCTTCGGATCAGCACGATGCGCCGGCCACAGTGCGCTGGCTGCAGCGGCCATTGGAGGTTGAACCAACAGTAAAGGAAGACCTTTCTCTCTCTCTCTGTTGAGATACCCACTTCTTGCATCAGAGTGCCTGGGTTGGAGCCCAGGCTGCGCTCTGGATTCCAGCCTCCTGCTAATACACACCCTATGGAGGCAGCAAGAGATCGCTTAAGTGGTTCGGGAGTGAATCAGTGGACAGGAGCTTTCTCTGTCTCTCCAATAAATGATGTTTTTGAAAAGTCCATGTTCAAAGATATAAGAGAGGGCAGTATATGTCAGAAGATTTCTAGATAGGGTTAAACTCGAGCTTTTATTTACAGAAAGGTATTTAGGATTTTTAAAAGTCTCACCCTTCTTTTTCTTCTTCTTCTTTTTCAAATCTCCCTGTCTACAAAGAGAAGAAAAACCATATCACCACTGTGATGTTCACAGAGCACTACGTATGTGCAAATCATGACGTTGCTTAAGACTTGGCAGCAGCTCACCAGAGCTAACAAGGTGGCTGGAAAATCAATTTCAGTTAAATCCAATCAAGCTTCAGATACTATAATTTTTGGAAAGTAGTTAAGAAAATAGACAATTGTTTTCAGAAAAGAAACCATCTATACTGCAAAAAATTCTAAGTGGCAAACATTATGTTTATGTGAAAAGGTAACCAATTTGCACTAGAATGAAAAGTTCTACTTGGGTGAGTTACCCTGTGTCATGCAAGATGTCAGGGACTCCACACTCTGCCAGAACACGTACAGGCAAGATTCAGGGAGAGACCACGATCTGGAAGCATATGCAGCGCAAGTCATGTCGGTCATGGCTTTGGGAAGGAGGAGGAGGGATGAGCTGGGAAATGACTTTTTACTTTGTACTCGTTTCTCTTTTGAATTTGGACCCTTTTATTATTTTTTAAAAAAATAAAGCTGGGGCAGGAGTTTGGTGCAGCGGTTAAGCCCCACCTGGGATGCCTGCATCCTCTATCAGAGTGCCCAGGTTTGAGCCCTGCCTCCACTCTGCATTCCAGCTTTTTCATGATGCACACCCTGGGAGGCAGCAGGGGGTGGAGTCCCTGCCATCCACATGCGAGACCTGAGCCGGCCCAACGCTGGCTACTGAGGGCCTTTGGGGAAGGAGCCAGCACATGGGAGATCTGTGTCTTTCTGCCTTTCAAATAAATAAATAAAATTTAATAAATAAAACCTTTATTAGTTACACTGACACTCACTCCCCCACAAACTCCCAAAACATAAAAGTGCTGAAAATGGTATAAAAAAAAATCAAGGGGCTGGCGCTATGGCACAGTGGGTTAATGCCCTGGCCTCAAGCGCCGGCATCCCATATGGGCGCCGGTTCTAGTCCCAGCTGCTCCTCTTCCAATCCTGCTCTCTGCTGTGTCCTGGGAAAGCAGCAGAATATGGCCCAAGTCCTTGGGCCCCTGCACTCACGTGGGAGACCCGGAGGAAGTTCCTGGCTCCCGACTGGCACAGCTCTAGATGTTGCGGCCAACTGGGGAGAGAACCATTGGATAGAAGACCTCTCTTTCTCTCTCTCACCTCTCTGTGTAACTCTTTCAAATAAATAAATCTTTAAAAAAAATCAAGAAAACATTTTAATAATTAAGTAATCTGAAAGCTACAGTAAAAAGAGCAAGACATTAACAAAAATCTCTGGCTAGACTCATTTGAAATGCTCTATGAGAACTCTGAAACAGTCAACTCAAAAGACAACAGCAACAACTCCTGCCAAAATTTCATCTGTAAGTCACAGAACTGTGAACATTCTCTCAGGATATCCTGCAGAGTAGGAGACACAATGTCTGCTGTCTTATTTCAGTGCCTGATCTCTTACCTAGACCTTGCAAATCCAAATTATCTGCCTATAAACTACATCCAACAGCCGTGCCTCCAGCAACGCGAGGTTCTTTGCCACTTCCTGTCTGCCTCAGCTGTCTTGCACGCCTCATCGTCCTCTTTCTCAGCCAGCACACCCACTCCTCCCTGAAGCCTTTCCTGTGCCTGTTCCCAGGAAGAACGGATTGTCTCCAGGGTGCAGTCCTCCATACCCTGCAGCTGTCACGTGTGCAAGCGTAACAGCACTAACTGCTTACGTGTATGCTATTTCTACTTTATTTTTTGGACAATATACAGCATAAACCTATCACATAGTGTATCTTCCAAAGAAACTAAACCTTAGTGCCAGAAACTAACTAAAATAAAGATACTCACTGAAAGTACTGTGCTAAAATTTAAAAGCTTAAGGTAATGTACATCTTAATGACTGTTAGGAGGAAAAGAAAAAGAAGACTAAAGATTAGAAAATAATTATGTCTTCTGTTTTGGAAGAGAAAAATTCTGAGCATATTTAAATAAGAATTATTTAAAAATCCACTTAAGATCTGACTTGAACTTATTTTACTTTGGGTTTCCTGAAAAGGCTTGAAATTGGAATCGTAATAAAATGGAATTTGAAATAATGTAATAGCTTTGAGATTCCAATTCCTTATTAAAGTATAAAAATTTTTTGGGGCCAGCACTGTTGCGTAGTGGGTAAAGCTGCTGCCTGCAGTGCTGGCATCCCATTTAGGTGCTGGTCCAAGTCTTTGAACCCCTGCACCTGCGTGGGAGACCTGGAAGAAGCTCCTGGCTCCTGGCTTTAGACAGGCGCAGCTCCAGCCACTGCGGCCAATGGGGAGTGAAATAGTGGATAGAAGACCTTTCTCTCTTTCTCTCTCTGCCTCTCCTTCTCTCTGTGTAACTGTTTCAAATAATATTTATATAAAAAATTTATTACATTCGTAACAAAGGAAGTAAATCATTGGTAAGTGCTTTATCTCTCCCATGCTCTATGCATCCTAAATCAAAAATAGATTCTTAAATGCTGCTCTGCAGGTTCTACTGTGTTTGGAAGAAAGCAATGGCAGAAACAAAGAATCAGAATTTGATTTCTTATAAGTAAATGAAACTGGCTTATCATTCCTCCAAAGAAGCATAAACCATCTGAACTTTAGTTGAGGAATGCAATTATGTCCTAAATGAACAAATAATTTTCAGGTAAAGTAAGAGATATCCAGTCTAGGGAATAATATTCATAGAAAGAATGAAGTATGTCTTTAAAAGGGGGGGGGGGGCCACTGTGGCGTAGCAGGTACAGCTGCAGCCTGCAGTCTCGGCCGCTCCACTTCCCCTCCAGCTCTCTGCTATGTCCTGAGCCAACAGCAGCAGCTGGCCCAAGTCTTCAGGTCCCTGTACCCGCATGGGAGACCTGGAAGAAGCTCCTGGCTCCTGACTTTTGCATCAGTGCAGCTGCAGCCACTGTGGCCAACTGGGAGTGAACCAGCGGATGGAAGATCTATTTCTGCCTAACTCTGACTTTGAAGTAAATAAATAAATCTTTAAAAAAAAAAAAAAAGAATGAAAAAGAATGAAGTTATGCCTATATTAGTACCTAGAGAGATCCCTATGACTTCTTAAATGAAATCAAATTGGAAAATAGTACGTACAAAATAATCTCCATTCTATAAAAAAGACAGAACAAAACATAACCAAAAAAAACCCCAACAATCTAAGAAAAATATTTGTAAATTACCTGTTTGTATAAACACAAAGACAAGATTGGGAAGGATATACTAAATACCAGAGGTTAATTCTGGGCTGGAGCAAGGGGAGAAATGAGAACTAAGAAGTGGGCCCAGTTGAAGAAAAAGGAAACAAACAAACAAACAAACAAAACAAAACAAAAAAAACACAGGAGCCAAACTTTAGTCCAGTGGAGTTTCTGTGAGAGTGTGTTTTCTTGCCATACAATTTAAAATCAGCAGTGAAGAGACTGTTACAGTGAAAAGCATTACCCTTGCTCCTTTGGCTGGCTGTCTCCAGTAACTTTTCCACCCTTCTTCCGAATGTATGTAGCACCAGGAGAATTTTCAAGAGCCTCCACGTCCACCTTTAGAGACATACTGTCTGATGAGGGCAAGTGTTTACTCAGACTGGGATGGAACAGGAGTTCAGGAATATAATATAAAACATACATGCATGTCTGACAATACACCCATGTCCAAAGAGAAACACCCTATCTCTTCTTCACTGAAAGCAAAACATGTTCTTGAATCTCCTACAGAGTAATCAGTAAGCCCTGTCGATTACACAGCAAATATGCAGAACCGTGATCTCGAGGAGTTGTAACCTTAGCATCTACTCCTTAACTCTGTGACACAGTTCAACATGGTGGCTCAACAAAGCTCCGTTCCAAAGCAAGCATCAAACTTAGGAACACAGACTTGCTCACTGCAAAGGCTTTGACTTGTGGTGGCTGAGTATCCCCCATCCCAGCCCAGTTTCAGGAACAGTCTCATTAAGGCAGTATGTGTGTTTCCAGCTGTAAAGACACTGAATTCTCACGTCAGCAGTGACTGAGACGAGCTTATGACCCACACAGTTTATTCAGAGGAACGTTTTAAAGCCATGAACCATCCACTTAACATCCTTTGTTTCTTTTGCTGCTGAACTTGAACTTGGAAGAATAGAAGCTGCTCCCTCCTGCAAACTTCATTCTTGCTTCTGGATGAAACTATTCCCCAAACTGTATCTACCACTGCATTTTTCAATTACATGGGCCAATAAATTCTCATTTTTGGCTTTATTAGTTCGCAGGCGATTTTAAAGCCCAGTGAAAACAGGCACTGGCAGAGCACTTGCGTGGTACTGGGGCAGCTGTCTGGAACAAAACCGAAAGGATACGCTTTTGCTTTCTCTGGATCTACAAGTGAGTAAGCAGAAATAAGCTGTGCCAGCGTGTGAATATCTTTGGGATTTTGTCTAAAAGGAGAAACAAGAAAGTTACTGAACAGTTCACAAAACTGGAAAAGGAACAGACACAAGTAAAATAACCTCCTCATATCAAACAACAGCAATGACAAGTGGACGTCCACATCTCCACCTCCCTGTGCTTACTTCCAGAGCTGTTCTAGGTCACTAATGGCCTCCTTTTTCCGCCCGTATTTGAGTTTGAAGTTTGCAGCTTCTCTTATCAAGGACAAATGAGCAGGAGATTTCGGCTACAGTTTCAATGAAAAGAAAAAAAAAAGTTTTAAGGTCATTATCTGCAAGTCAATGACGTTATATTCATTAGACCTTCAAAATGCATCAGTCCATTAAATTCCTCATCTAAAATTTTAGTGAATGCCTGAAACAACAAAATCATTCACATATATACAGGCAGGGAGGTAGACAAATTAGTACAAGTAACCACCAATTTATGAATCTGCAACACATCCCAGTTCTATTAAGGCTGCCAACCAAATCTTAAAGACACATCACTGCAGTTCTCAAACACTGAACAGTTCCTGGTCACTGATGCCCCTCTACCACCAACAGTGATAACGGCACAAATGCTGCTTGTGTCGTGTATGTTTCTGTGTAAGCTGCATGTTGTGGCCGAGCCCCGCGGGTGGGAAAGGCAAGATGCTCCTGTCAGACGGAGACACGTAAGCAAGGATTTCACGTGAACTCTTGCAATTGTCACTACTACTTTTTGGCTCTGCTCCCTTACATGCAACCACATACTACAGGTTAAATACCCCTTACCTAAACTGTTTGGGACCAGAAATGCTTCAGATTTGGGAGTTTTTTGAAATTTGGAATATTGGTTGATCCTTAATCCAAAAACAAAATGCTTCAAACTTCAAAACTTTCTGGTGCTTGGAAGGTTTCCGATCTGGACATCTGGGTTAGGGATGCTCAATTTGTATCACTCCTTCTTATTTCTTGAGATTATCCACACAGGAACAGGAAAAGCACAAATGAGCCCCCCCGCCCTCAATTTGTAGCCATCATTCCAAGTACACTTATTTGTGCCTGGTATACTGAAAACTGTCCTCATGATGCCTCACTCTGCTTACTTACCTGCTGGTTCTGATACCACTGGATAGCTTGGGTGAAGACCTCGATGGCACTATCAATGTCTTCCTCATGGCTGTACATGGTCACTAACGCAGACACCTGCCCAGCCAAAGGTATAAATAAGTAAGTAAAACTCTTCCTTCACTCCAAGAATACACTTATTGAAAATGAAAAACATGAAAGAAACAGCAAATGAGGATTTCTAGGCTTTCTGCCAGCACCAAGTTCATCAGAAAACTCTTCACAGAATGTAACTTTATTCCTAGATAGATTATGAACAGTGTTTTCCAAATATGAATGTAGTTACCTAAAAATACACTATTTCTCTTCAGCAGTGCTAGTCCCCAGTCTGACAAGCACAGAAGGTGAAAACAAGCATGTAGAAACGTCTACACAGCAAGACATTGCTCAACACTGAGGTGTGTGATCCGTGAGTAAATGCTAGTATAGCGGACTGCCTGTGAGGAGTCACATGGGACTTGAGCTACATAAAGCCAGTTCAGAGCTTGCCTAGGGGACAAGCAAGGAGGGACGTATGTCTGATGGGGCTGGGGGATGGGGCTAAAGGAGGAAGAGGAGCAGTAGGAGATAAGGATAGAAAGGAAACAAAAAAAAGTTGGATCTTTAAGAAAAATCAGTAAACTAATAAACTTCTAGATAGACTGATCGGGGAAAAAAACAGACACAAATAACTAATATCAGCAATGACAGAGGTCTACAGATATCAAAAGGATATCAATTTAGGTTAAGAAATTCCCTACCCAGGTCTGAGATTATTTGAGGTTGGCATTTAGTGATAACATCAGACCTAAACAGTGCCTGACACATCTGAATACCAAGGGAATATCACAAACTTTCAAGCCAATAAATTCAATAACCTGCATGAAATGGATAAATTCCTTGAAATGTAACAGAAGTTCAGACGTTAAATATTACAAACATTTTATTACAGCCATGTGGTGGATTTGATAGTGACATCAAATAATTGCAGCATGATGCTTTAAATGAGTCTTCAAGAGAAGGCATCACCATAAGACTGTTGCACATTTACTGAGTGTCAAACACAAACACACTGTGTTCGAGGACACAAACATGAAGTAAACAGTTCCCGTTCCAGACAGACATCCCACTACACAATGACGGGAGACACATGCTTTCATGGCTGTATTAGTAATCTAAACTTTAATACTTGAATAATCAGAGAACAGTAGGCCACTTTTACTCAAGTGTTTAACTCAAAGAAATCACAAGGACAACATGATACACACAGTTTGGGTTCAGCAATTCCCTACACAGGTCTGAAGTGATGTGAGGCTGACCTTCAGTGATATGGCCTAAATATTATAGTGCCTGGCGCTCTGACTGGGTAATAACAAACTGCAAACCAGCCCACAGCTGAGTACTGCATGAATTACATTTCTATCCTTCTGACTATATTGGGATATAAGCAGAAATTAAAATACAGAGAAACTTCATACATATACATAGAGACAATCAACTCTACTACTTTTTTAGTCTTGTAGCACTTTATTTATAAACTCACCATGCCTGGTTTATGCTTTAACTTCTCTATGCTTCTCAATATTAGACATGCTTTGGAAATATTACCTTAAGAGATTAAAAACAAAATCAGTATCACATTGAAGAAAGTATATTACAGGGGAAAAATAACCACAACATTTTACTTTTGCCCACTACTTTCCCTCAGGACAGCAGCCCGGAGTTGTAACATCTCTACATATACAAGCTCTGGGGACGTGGGCATAGGGCACTTCACTTAGTTACTCTACAGAGCAGGAAAATGAGTTCTAAGGAAATGATACACCTTGCTTACACTCAGAAAGGAAGTTACTGGCAGAGCTGTTACCAGAGACGAAGTTGCCAAATGCCTAGTCTACTGAGTTCCATTTCTTTATAGTTAGATTGGAACATTAAGGTGCGGACTCTTTCCCTAAAGACCTTGAAAAATGTTAACTGTGGACATCAGTGCAACAGAAAAGTCATGGTGTTGAAATTCTGATTTTCCCACTCACCGCAAACCTCAACAATTTAAACCTGTCAGTCTTTAAAAGCAAAATAAACAAAAAACCATGACAGACTCTCTCTCAGTAATTTCAGAAAGATGAATAATCCATGCAAAAAATAAACTAAAAATCGGGTATGGTAAGAAGATAAAGGGGGGCAAGCAAAAGAAAGAGCTGGTAGAAGAAGGAAAAACAGGGAGGAGGGTAAAGAAATGTGAGAATGCGGTTAGCAGGAGCTCAGCAGGTTTCTGAACACTGTCTTCATTACCGCCCACTAAACAGACTTTTCCCCCAAATTTCCACTATCTCCCCCACTCCATGAAATTCTCATTTCAGTTGGCATGACATCTAAAATTCTGACTGAATATCACTTCCACCAAAATTGAACGTTCCATACCAGAGCTGTGTGATACAACTTTCCACGACAAGGGGAGTTGACACTGGTGCTATCCAATATGGCAGCCACCAGCCTTAGCTTCCGCATTGTAGCTAGTGAAACTGAGGAAGTGAATTTTAAATTTTGCTTCTTCTTAATTTAAACTTATAATAGTTACAAATGGCTAGTGGCTACAATATTGGACAATATACCTCCAGATAATTTTTCAAGGTACATTCAAAATCACAAAGGTCACACAGCAATGCTGCCATCCCATATCAGAGTGCCAGGTGGAGTCCTGGCTGCTCCACTTCTGATCCAGTTTCCTACTAATGTGCCTGGGAAAGCAGCAGAAGATGGTCCAAGTATTTAGGACTCTGCTACCCATGTGGGAGACCCAGATGACGTTCTTATCTCTTCGTTTTGGTCTGGCCCTGCCCTGGCTGTTGCGGCCATTTCGGGAGTGAGCCAGCAGGTGAAGATACCTGTCTTTCCCTTTCTCTCTCTGTAACTGTACCTTTCAAATAAATAAATCTTTTTAAAAAATAGCACGGTAACCCCTTTCTTATTTCAAGCGAATATTACATACTCAGTAAATCTGTGTAAAATGGCTTTTTGGAATGATAGAGCCTTTTGTTTCGACTGTCAAAGCACAGACTGAAAATCATTCTAACAATTTAGGAATTAACATAAGAAAAGGGTCAACTAGTTCATTACTCAATCTGTTGGACGTTATACAATCTAGCTTCATGTTTTAAACACTACTAACTATGCTTTACCATTATGCATAATGTCTAAAATTATATAGCTCATAACTTCAGAATCATTCCAGCCCCATGGATCCATTATTTTAATGATGGAAATTATTATTATTTTTAATACCTTGAGAAATTTTCAACTGTGCCATGGTCAACTTAATTTCAGCTGCATTTTCTGGATGTTGATCTGAGAATTCCTAAAATTGTTTTAGTTGGAGAAAAAAAATCACATTTAATATACACAACTAGAAATTACTATTATCTAACCCATACAAAATTTTAAAACCAGTTGTTAAAGTTCTAAACTTTTGGTTTCTGGTCAAAATTTTAACTTGGGAAAAATTGTACTCGATGCCCACTTAGCTTTAAGTAAACTCTGAAATGACTACAGTAACGTCGAGCTTCCTAGACGTCGTTAACAGAACACTAACACAGATCACCACGCAAGGGCAGACGTCTGGCCCAGCAGTTGAGACGCCGGCTAGGACACCACATCCCACACTGCAGTGCTGGGTTTGTGTCAGGCTCTGCTCCCAACTCCGAGAATGCAGACGACTGGGAGGCAGCAGGGACGGCCAGGCAGTTTGGTTCTTGGCTCCTGGCTTTGGCCTGAAGGGTTTCTGGGCAGTGAACCAGCAAATGGGAGTTCTCTTTTTCTCAAATAATTTTGTTAATCAGAGAAAAAAAAATCACTGCACACATTTTTTTTCTTTTTCTTGAAAAAAGAAATGGTGATGCCTTACTGATGCTCCCTACTAGACAACTCTGCCTGCCACGATGGTCCTAATTTTACTCCATCCAACTTTTCAACATAGGCTTCTCAGGAACTTCAAAAATAATATTGTAACTGGTTTGGATTGATAAAAACCAAGTTAGCATCCTCGTAATTTTTTAAGGTTTTGGAACAGGACTCACTGGAGATTACATTATTGGAAAGGGAATTAAGCGGCTTCTTGTCATGTAAGCATAAAGCAAACCCCAAACTCATGTTAAACGGATCTCCAAACGAAAAAGCATTCTTCAGGGTCTATGACAAATTTGTATGTGGTGTAAATTTACATATAAGCTGCAACCCAAGAATTAAGTAAAGTGACACCGGCATTTGTCTCATGGTATGTTACGTTTCAGTTTGACATCCAAATTTAGAAGCCTGTAGGTCATTATAGTGCACCAAAAACGAAACAAGGCAGCAGCTATCTGACTTTTCATTAAAAATTCAAGTAATTCGTTTACCTGAAGCAGCTCTATTGCTTTTGCATGCTGCTTTTCACGGCAGAGCTGGGCAGCTTGGATTAACACTGGCAGGAGATGCTCAGGACTCTGCGACTGTAAACTGGCAGATATTTTGCGGCACTGTTCTGCCTGGAAGATGGTTTCCCCCCAACAGAAATGAGCTAGTTAATGAAAACAAACACTAAACGATCAAAAAGAAAGGGATGGGAAAATCAGTTCAAACAAAACAGTAAACAACGACCCGCCTGAGGCATAAGAATTGATTTATAGTATCTATTCTTCTGATTTGATTTCTTAAAGTCTTCAGTAGAGGTCAAGTGTTAACTATTTGCTTGGTGCTTAAAGGTGCTTAAGTAATAAAAAGGCAAAACACATCCAGTGTAAACATTTGCTTCTAAAACAGAGTGCTTAGGTGTCTTGGTCAAGTATCAGGAGTAACCTGACACAATTCTACATAGAAAAAACATTATCTCAGGGCCGGCACTGTGGTGTAGTTGGTTAAGCCACAGTGCTGGCATCCCACATGGGTGCTGACTCAAGGTCCAGGCTGCTCCACTTCTGATCCAACTTCCTGCTAATACACTTGGGAAAACAGTGGAAGGTGACCTAAGTACTTGGGCACCTGCATCCACGTGGGAGACCCAAAAGCTCCTGGCGCCCAGCTTCAGCCTGGTCCAGCCCCAGCTATTGTGGCCATTTGGGGAGTGAACCAGCGGACGGAAGACCTAACTCTGCCTTTCAAATAAATAAAATAAATCTTTAAAAACATTATCTCTCACTCTCCCAATAAAACTTACGTTACAGAAAGAGTATGAAATCAGAATTTAATTAGAATGCATGCTAGAACTGACCTCAACATTTACAACCTGTGATTTTACACAACCAAAATGAAGGTGGATCATAAATCTATGATCATGACTGGCATTTGTGGTGACACCATTTAATTCAGAAAGATTGGACATAAAGTAATGAGAAAGTTATCTCATTTAAACATGTAAATATTGTTTTTTTTTAATCCTAAATGCCATCAACCCTGCATCTTTACCAAGAATTGGGCAAATAATTTGTTTAGGAAACAAAATTAACAAGTATGATATATGACACTTTAGAAAAGAAAAAAAGACATTTGCATGGGCTTAAGGCAAAATATACATAAAAATGCTAAGATTGCACAAATATACCTATTATTCTCATGCCATATGATAAAAGGATTAGTCAGGAAACCACAGGTCTATTACCCACCTGGTTTGTGTACATAGCAAGTAAGGCTTTGTTAAATTCTATAGCTTGCAGTTGTTTCTTGGAAAGCTTAAACTCTACACCTTCTGCATTGGTTAATTTCACCTTCTTCTTGGAGTCAAAGACATTTTGGTCCTGACAAAGAAAAGTTCATCCACCATTAACAGAATCTAAGGCTTCAATTCTATTAACATTCTAGGGCCTCATTCCTCTTCCAGTTAGTAATTTTACTTAAGTACAACAAGTGGGCTTGAAGATGTCTACCTGGTTGGGTGCTTAGCTGTTAAGATGCTTATAAATTTGTCTTGAACTCTTACTTCATAAAAGTGAACAGGATCTCTAAAATTCAAGTCTAACAGAATAAGTAGGCTTTCTATTTGTAGCTATGAACAGGCTTACCAATTCAGCTTGTTTTGAAGGGGCAATGAATAAGACTTTTGTTTGAAGCCTTTTGAAGAAAAAAATAATAGCATAAATCTTACAGGGTCTCAGGACTAGAAAGAAACCTAACTTTGCGATTTCTACAAGCTATGCCCTTTACTATTTAGATGACAAGCAAAAGTAATTCATTCCTCCTTTCAAGAGTCACTACGTAAGCACACCACTAAACAAACTTCAGTAATATATTCATGCTGCTTTTGATCCATGTTTAGCAGAAAATACTCATTTAACATATCTACTGTTTTTCCCTTCCTAAGGGTCTTCTCAACTAGGCAGAAGAACAAAGAAGGTGAATTTGTGAAATTTCTGTGTGGGCCGAATACAGTGCTAATGCCTAAAGAGGGTCCTGCTGAAAGCCACACACTCGGGGCCAGCACTGGGGTGTAGCAGGTAAAGCCGCAGCTTTGCCATGCCAGCATCCCATGTGGGTACCAGTTCGAGTCCTGGCTGCTCCACTTCCAATCCAGCTCTCTGCTATGGCCTAAGAAAGCAGGGCCCCTGCACCTGTGGGGGAGACCCGGAAGAAGCTCCAGGCTCTTGACTGGCCCAACTTTGGCCACTGCAGCTATCTGGGGAGTAAACCAGCAGATGGAAGACCTTTCTATCTCTTTTCAACTCTGCCTCTCAAATAAACTTTTTTTTAAAGACATTAGGCATTTCACATACTTTCCTATTCACAATCATGAGGGTACCTCAAAAAGTTCACAGAAAGTGGAATTCTTAAAAACCCTTGAAATCCATGCAGTTTTTCATATGTATTTTCTACAAACTTTTTAAGACTCCTCTTCTATGTTTCACAAAAAGAATCTGTCCTAATAAGCATTCCCACATTTGTAAATACAAACAGGTGTGTATGTATATACTCCTGCCAAGATTCAAATGTCAGCACCCATGTTTGAAAACCTAAAACCATGTTAATGGCCTGCACAATCCACAATTATTACTTCCTTTAATGCAATTATTGTGCATATGGGGATTTTCAACATTTCAGCAGGAAAGAGATATCATGAAGAGTAGAAGGGGAAACTTTGGAATCAGAACTTGAACCTGGGGCCGGCGCCGTGGCTCACTTGGCTAATCCTCCGCCTTGCAGCGCCGGCACACCGGGTTCTAGTCCCCGTCGGGGCGCTGGATTCTGTCCCGGTTGCCCCTCTTCCAGACCAGCTCTCTGCTGTGGCCAGGGAGTGCAGTGGAGGATGGCACAAGTGCTTGGGCCCTGCACCCCATGGGAGACCAGGAGAAGCACCTGGCTCCTGCCATTGGATCAGCGCGGTGCGCCGGCCACGGCAGCCATTGGAGGGTGAACCAACGGCAAAGGAAGACCTTTCTCTCTGTCTCTCTCTCTCACTGTCCACTCTGCCTGTCAAAAAAAAAAAAAAAAAAAAAAAAAAAAAAAAAAAAAAAAAAAAAAAAAACAAAACAAAAAACACACAACCTGAACCTGAATCCAAGTTCTACCTCTTACTATCTTATACAAATTACTCAACTCCCTTTAGTGTGAGATTATCATACTCCGACAAACTGGAGACAAGGACAACCACCTACTAAGATTACTGAGAATGAAATAAGCTGGCACTTGAAAAATCACATGGCTTTCAAGAGAAATCAAATGTCAGACTTCCTTATTTTCTCTCAACTTGGATTTCAAATCTGAACTTGAAATGCTGTTCCACTACAGCGATGTTCCAAATGGTGGTTAATTTGATTGGTATGGCACCCTAAGTTAGGACCACCTATGTGTGGAGGCTTCCACAAGTCTATACAAAGTGCCCATTTCTTTGAGTCCCATTCTCCATGAACTTTTTGAGGCTCCCTCCCCTGTACACACTTGTAATGTCTTACAAAAGGTGAGGGAGAGGAAGGAGACAGGACCTGCCCTCAAAAAAAAAAAAAAAAAAAAAAAAGATAAAGAAAATCACACAACTGGTTCAATAGCTGAAAAAATTACATAAAATATACATGCGCCTAAAGTTTAAGTCCAAACAGTGTGTATCTCTAACAGAGAATTCTCCAAATGACGATAAACTGGGAGAAGGGGATGATTTTAAGGTCTGGAGTAAGTTTTTATTACTTAGATATTATTTACAGAATTATCATCATTATGAGAGTTGAGTAATACTCTCCAGTGTGATTTTACTACAACTGTCCTTTTTCTGTCATGGAAAAAAAGAACATTTATCTGAGAACACAGCTGGGGTAAACTGCTTTCAGTATAACTGGACATGTAGGAAGGACATGGACATGCCATACCTTGTTAATGGTAATGATGTTATTTGCAATTACAGCGAGTAATCCCACATCTGTTGGCCTGAGAACAAGAAGCAACAGTCAAAGCAAAGAAAACATTTATAAGAAACCTCACCCCCCTCTAAGAGTCACTTCATCTAAATAATGCACTTACTTCAGTTTTATTATCTGATTGTACAGCTGCAAAGCCTCCTCCGTACGACCTTGAAGCTGCAGAATGTAGGCCATCTGACCGTGAATGATGGCCAGTTCTGCCTCTGGGTCCTCCTCAGTCACATCCTAAGTGGGAGAAGAAATATCTTTCTGCTGTAAATGTTTCAAACTGATGCACACATCTGTCCAGTGATCCAAACACCCAGAAGAGGTACAATCCTGAGGAAGACAGCTAATTGCAGAAATTCTCCCACGGAGTCACCTCTTTGAAATTTAGGAATTGCACCATAAGAGTAGTTTAAGTGAAAATGGCACAAATGTTTTGGAAGAACACGGCAACAAACTCAGGAATACCACTTATTGATCATTATCTTCTAATTCTTGAGAATGAAAAAAACAGTATGAGAGATCCAGCACACAGGGGTTGGCACTGTGGTGCAGCAGGCTGAGCTGCCGCTTGCAACGCTGGCACCCACATCACAGTGGCGGGTCAAATCCTGGCTTCTGATCAAATCAGCTTCTGATCAGCTCCCTGCTAATGCACCAGGGAAGGAAGCAGATATGGGCCAACTACTTGGGCCCTGCCACCCATGTGGGAGACCTGGATGGAGTCCTTGGCTCCGGGCTTCAGCCTGGCTCAATTCCCCAAATGACCACGACATCTGGAACTGGGCATGTCAGGAGCCAGGAGCTGCTGCCAGTCTCCCATGTGGGCGTAAGGGCCCAAGCAAACTGTGGTAATTTGGAGAGTGAACCAGTAGTTAGAAGACCAATCAACTGACCTCTCTCTCCTCTCCTCTCTCACCTACTCTACCTTACAAAGATCTTAAAAAAAAAAAAAAGCAGGAGTAGACATTTGGAATTCTGGAAACATAATTTTCCCCTAAGAATAATTTTAAAGATCTTTCTATTTTAATCCTACCATAACTCTAACCTAAAGATTTTAAAAATTCGCAGCCAGGGTGGTGGTGCAGCAGGCTAAGTCACTGCCTGCGATGCTGGTATCCCCTTCGAGCGCTGGTTCAAGTCCTGGGTGCTCAGCTTCGTGATCAGCTTTCTGCTCATGCGCCACAGCGAACAGTGGAGGATGGCCCAAACACCTGGTCCCCTGCCACCGCCATGGGAGATGCAGATGGAGTTCCAGCTCCTGGCTTCAGCCTGGCCCAGCTCTGGCTTTTGCAGCCATTTAGGGAATGAACCAGGGAATGTAACTCTGCCTCTCAAATAAATCTTAAAAAAAGACTTAAGCAAACAAATTCTGTAACTACAGTACAGCTCTCTTACCTACTCCAGATGGATGTACATTCTCCGTTCCTTCTGGAAGTCTGAATGATGCTCACTTACACTCAATGTTCATGGCTATGAGGCTCTGGGTTGTTGTTTTTTTTTTTTTTTTAATTTTAAAAGATTTTTCTCTTCTGCTTCCTTCCCAGGCAGATTAACAGGAAGCTGGATGAGAAGCTGAACAGGGGACCAGCACTGTGGTGTACTGGGTTAAGCCACAGCCTGCATGGCATTCCATATGGGTGCCAGCTCAAGTCCTGGCTATTCCACTTCCAATCTAGCTCCTTGCTAATTGTCTGGGAAAGCAGCAGAAGATGGCCCAGGTGCTTGGGCCCTTGCGCCCACATGGGAGACCTGGATGGAGCTCCTGGCTCCTGACTGGCCCAGTTCCAGATGTCGTGGTCATTTGTGGAATGAATCAGTGGATGGAGATCTCTCTCTCTCTCGGTCTCTCCTTCTCTCTGCAATTCTGCCTTTCAAACAAACAGAAGCAGCAGCAGCAGTAGAGCAGCCAGGACCTACACTGCCACCTTGGTGTGGGATGGCGGCGTTGCCAAGCGGCAGCTTAACCTGCTCTGCCACAACACCAGCCCCTGCACGTTGGTTTTTTACTGGCTAGGTTTAAGTCAAGGAATAGTAAGAAATTAGTGAGAAAGTTAAGATCTATAAGATGCGGCGCCGGCACACCGGGTTCTAGCCCCAGTTGGGACACCGGATTCTGTCCCGGTTGCCCCTCTTCCAGGCCAGCTCTCTGCTGTGGCCCGGGAGTGCAGTGGAGGATGGCCCAAGTGCTTGGGCCCTGCACCCCATGGGAGACCAGGAGAAGCACCTGGCGTTGGATCAGCACAGCGCTGGCCATAGCGGCCATTAGGGGAGTGAATCAACGGAAGGAAGACCTTTCTCTCTGTCTCTCCCTCTCACTGTAACTCTCTCTTACTAATTCTGCCTGGCCAAAAAAAAAAAAAAAAAAAAAATCTATAAGAACTCAACTGACTTTAAGATACAGTACAGCATTTTGAAAAACAAAATAGGATTGGGCATCTGGCACAGTAGTTAAGACAACACGTGGGATGCCTGCAGCCCTGTAAGAGCACCTGGGTTCAAGACCCAGGTCTCCCTCTAATAGCTCTCTGCTCACGTGCACCCCAGGAGTCAGCCACCCCCACAGGAGACCCAGACTGTGGTCCTCGCCCAGCTCCAGGTGCTGCTGGTATCGGGATGAACCAACAGACAGTAGATCCGTCTCTACTTTCAAATAAAATCCAAGTTTTTTTTTTAAGTTTGGGTTTAGTAACAGTGGAATACTTACTGAGTCTTCTGAAAATGAATGGCGGCACAGATCTATAGAAGAAAATTGTTCTACCATTAGTATTGCTGGGTAACTGCCATTTCTTTTACCATTACAAAGAGAACTAAACTCTTCAGCAGAATATTTCAAAATAATCTTAAAATAAGCCCATGTGAAATTTATATTAGCATCAAATATACTACTGCAAAGGGCATTTAAAACAAATAAATGTAATAAATGCTGGCTGCTAAAAGTCAATTACAGGAGAGCACAAAAATAAAGACAATAATCCTACCTCCAGGGAAAGAGTGCTGGCATTTCAGTTTATTTTTTAAAAATATAAATGGAGAGCTGCTTTTTGAAATGAAAGTGGTATATTCTAAATACTCTTTGGAAACTGCTCATCCCCTACTAATATACTGTGAACATCTTCATTACAATACAGATCTATTTTTTTACATTATTGATTTTAATGACTGCATGGTAGTCTACTTTATTATTATAGTAAAGCAACCAATTCTTTAACAGTACCGAAATTAATGCTGCTCCCACATTTTTGTTCTTACAGGCATCCCTTCAATTAACATTCATAATGATAAAATGAAAACTATCTAATTAATTCATCAAAAGAATTATTTTTCTGGAAATGGCCTTCCTGGATCAAAGGGTATCAAATTTGAAAATCTGCTACACAGCATCGAACTGCCCAATGCAGAGCCTGTCCTACTTTTACACTCAAAGCTGCCAGATATGAGTGTCCTTGTCCTATACCACTGCCAGACATGAGAGTGTCCTTGTCCTATACCACTGTCCACAGTTGGGGACGACCAAGCAGCTACAGCTCTTACACAACTCCTCCTTCTCGTCATGCTCTATCCACTGCTCTCATTTTAACCTCCAACATCTAACAGTAAAACAGGCCCTGTTTCACCTTCTTCCTTCCTGCCATTGCAGTCCCTATGGCATCCTTTTATAGCTTACAAGAGAAAATGTCTGGGCCACCACCTGCAGTGCCAGTATCCCATATGGGCACAAGTTCTAGTCCTGGCTGCTCCACTTCCAACACAGCTCTCTGCTGTGCCTGGGAAAGCAGTGGAAGATGGCTCTAGTGCTCAGGCCCCTGCCCAACATGGGAGACCCAGAAAAAGCTATAGGCTCCTGGCTTCTGATCAGCGCAGCTCCGGCCGTTGCGGCCAGTTGGGCAGTGAACCAGTGGATGGAAGACCTCTCTCTGCGTCTGCCTCTCTGTAACTCTTCCTTTCAAATAAATAACAAATAAGTCTTTTAAAAAAAAAGAGAGAGAGAAAATGTTTGCAGAAGAAACATGTAAATGTTTCAGGAGCTGACACCAGACAAGAGTATTTTAACAATTTTTTTTCCTAATTGAAAGCATCAAAGCATGTAAATTTTGTATATAGGAATTTATTACATGAAATTAAAATGTGCTCAAAGGGTGCTAATAATACATGAATGAGGTATATATGGCATATGTCAGTACTTACTTGGGTGCTGGCTTAACAACCGCAACTACACTTGCTGAATGCATACATTACATGCTATGCACCATTGTAAATGCCTGACATTAACACTTTGCTTTTAACAGTCATAGTTGACTTGTCTCAAAATTGAAATTTTTTAATATCTAGTGTGCCTGAACATGGACGAGTGGAATGGCTTAAGGATTAGACAGAAATATAGGAGATAGTTAAAAAGAGAATGGCTAGCTGAACTTTGAGAATTTCCCAGGTTTCATCAATAACTCCCACTTGATAATTTCACAAAACTCAGTATGATTTTTGAAGATACTCTGCCAAGTCACATGCATGTTATATTGACAGATAATCTGAATCAATGCCAACCTTCAGCTTTCTGTAGGATTTTCATCGCCTGGTTCAGGTGGCCCTGTCCTATCAGTGCACACGCAGCATTGTAGCACAGTTCATGGGTGCCTTCCTGCAGGCCCAAGTTCTCCTGTCAGGGAGCAAGAGACCAGTCAAACACCAGACACAGATACTCCTTCCCGGCTACCCAGGTACACAAAAGGACACTCACCGGAACCACTTTTTCCCAATTGCTTTGAGCTGCAACAACTGCTGAAAGGTTTGTTTTCCTCTCCTCGTCATAATCATCCTGGGAGTTTCGGACAAGATCTCTGTACACAGTTAAGCACTCATCATAGCGTTCCAGGCGATATAACTAAAAGACAAAAAAAGCAAGTGAACAATCAAGGAAGACAAACACAGCGTTACGTGTGCAACACCATTCACACCGTTTTCACAACCACTAAGGAGAAAGACTAATTCAGTGTAACATATGTAACCACCATTTATCTTTTGTAATTTTTAATTACTTTTGTGTGCTAATATATTTTTTCTTTTTTTTTAATATTTTATTTAATGAACATAAATTTCCAAAGTACAGCTTACGGATTACAATAGCTTCCCCCCATAACTTCCCTCCACCCACAACACTCCCCTCTCCCACTCCCTCTCACCTTCCATTCACATCAAGATTAATTTTCAATTATCTCTATATACAGAAGATCAATTTAGCATATATTAAGTAAAGATTTCCACAGTTTACACCCACACAGAAACACAAAGTGTAAAATACTATTTGAGTACTAGTTATAGCATTAATTAAACACCTGAGAGTAATTGTGTATTAATTACAGAGTTCAACCAATAGTTTTAAGTAGAACATAAAAAATACTAAAAGGGTAAAGTATTAAGTTCTTTTTTTGGTTTGTTTGTTATATATATATATATATTTTATTTAATAAATGTGAATTTACAAAGTGCAACTTGTGTATTGTTGTGGCTCCCCCCCCCCAACCTCCCTTCCTCCCGTGGCCCTCCCCTCTCCCACTCCCTCTCCCATCCCACCCTTCATCAAGTTTCATTTTCAATTACCTTCATATACTGAAGATCAACTTAGTATATACTAAGCAAGGATTTCAACAGGCTGTGTGTGCTAATATTTTTAAAAAGGACTCGCAATGAGTCCTCACATATTGCCGATTTGAAGAGTTTAGAAAAATAACTTTCTTCACTTTCCTTCTTGAAGTCAGTCAGGTGCCTGAGTGGCTTATGAAAAGAAACCTTTCTAAAGAAATGAACCCAATTACCTGCATCTGAATTACAACGAAAAAAATTTTCTACAACCAAAAATCATTAAAGCCCAGCCCCAGTAAACAGAAACAAAATAAAATGGTAATAAGCACTTAATATTGCCTAGTTCACTATATATAATTCACTTTTCTTTTTCAGAAACCAGCTACTGTACACGTACACAATATAATTCCTGCCTATTTTATTCAAGTTTTCTCCAAGGACAGTAACAACAGCTACTCTGGATTAATGAGTTCACTACGCACGACAGAGACGGTCCCTTCATCAACCTCAATGCTGGAATTCACCCGAAACTTACCCAGTTTACCTCAGGAGTTCTTCACAGAACCATAATCCATGAACTTGCCCAAACACTTCATAAGCTCATCTATATTGATAAATTTACATTCCTTCTTGGGGACAACCACATTATCTGTCCTAAACTGACATTTCAAAAATCTTTTGAGAGGATTTTGCTAGCTTTAACATATATACTTCTGTCCTCCCTTCATTAACATTCTTCTATTAGGATTAATTTTAAGTCTCAAAATCCTTATAGAATAAAATATATTCATGATTTCACAGGCTGAAATCAACCAAATTCTCATCCACCAGGACTGTCTCCATTGAAAAAGTAAAAGTTAAATAACTGAAAGAGGTACTATAAATAAGTGTATAAACTCACTGGTCTTCAGCTTTCTAAGTAAAAAGTCCAAATTTCACAGAATGATTCTTCTACTTTCTTTAATGTTCTAAGTACCCTGAGGAAGTCACTTGTTCACAGAACACTTGATTATGCAACCGTTGGTATGAAAATCAAGAGGCGGAAACACGTTCAAACCTCGAGAACTGGTTTGGTGGCCACGTTTGTGGAGCAGCAGGATGGGCTGGGCTTCCTCATCCCTGCTCCCTGCTAGAGGCAGAGGCATGCTCACTCAGGACGACTGAGAACAGGTATTTTAAAGCAGTAATTACCACTTGTCCATAAAGCTCCTTCAGTTTGTCTGTCTGCTGGTTGGCACTCTCTATGGTCTTCAAGGCGTTCTCAATTCTGTTTAGCCTGTACTCACAGTACGCCTTCTCAAAGGAGAGTGAGTTGCTGGAGAAGGAAAACACCAGAATCTGTTACCATCTGACAATGCAGAGCACCCACTATATGCCAGAATAGTCTTGGCACTTACTGTGTATCCATCTATCCGATCCCCATTACAACAAGAAACTCACAGAGGTTAGTAATTTGTCCAAATATCAGACAGCTCTTAAGTGACAGAAAATAATAATTACCCTAGCCTTTCTTGCTTTCATGGATATTCGTATTAGAATTACTTGCCTTTTGAAACCAACATTTAAGAAGAAAATCACAAGAGAAGGCAATTAGCACAGCAATTAGGAAACCTGCATCCTGCCTGCCTCCCATGTGAGAGCCCGGGGTGGAGGGTGGAGTCCCGCCTCTGCTTCTGACTCCAGCTTCCTGCTCAAGGGCACGCGGGGAAGCAACGGACTCAATGGCTCGAGGAGTTGGGTCCCTGCCACCCACAAAGGAGACTCAGACTGGGTTCTTTGGCCTGGCTCAGCCCTGGCTATTGTGTGGGTTTGGGGGGATGAACCAGTTGATGGAAAACTTTGCCAATTTCTGTCCTCTCTGCCTTTCAAATAAAATGAATGTATATATAATGAATATAATAAAAATGAACATATATATATATAATGAATATAACAATTTAAAAAGGCAGTGGCAGGGACAACCCTTGGGATGTCCGCATCCTACACTGGAGTGTCTAGGATAGTTCCACCTCTGCCTTCCAATCCTGCTTCCTGCTAGCATGCCTGGGAGGCAGATGATGGTTCAAGTACTTGGGTCCTTGAACCATGTAGGAGTCCTGGATTGAGCCTGGCCACCTGGCTTTGGCCTGGCCCAGCCCTGGCTGTTGCAGGCACTAAGGGAGAAAATTAATGGATAGAAAATCTGTCACTCTGCCTTTCATATAAAGAAGTAAATAAATCTTTTTTTAAAAAGTATATAAAAAGCAAATTAAGTTAGCTAAATAACTGTCTTAGATACAAAGAGAATCGTAACACTGTTTTTAAAGGATTTCTCTATTTATTATTAAAAATAAACTTTTGGAGCTGGCATTGTGGCGTGGTGGGTTAAGGTGCCATCTGTGATGCCGACATCTCATAGGGGCACTGGTTCAGACCTGGGGCTCACTTGCAACCCAGCTCCCTGCTGATGCACCCAGGAAAGCAGCAGAGGATGGCCCAACTACTTAGGTGCCTGCACCTACACGGAGACCTGGAAGAAGCTCCTGGCTCTGGCTTCTGCACAACTGAACCCCAGCCACTGTGGCCATTTGGGAAGTGAACCAGCAAATGGAAGACTTCTCTGTCTTTCCCTCTCTAACTCTGGCTTTCAAACAAATCCTTAAAAAATAAACACACTTTTAATTCAATTTTTCCACAAACTTAAAAAAAAAAAAAGTTGTATTTGTTTTTATTTGGGAGTAAGGGCTCCCCGCTCCACTGGCACACTCCCCAAATGCCCACAGCAGTCACTTGGTCAGGCTGACGCGGGGAGAGGAAAATCCAATCTAGATGTACATGCGGGTGGCGGCAATTCACCCACTTGAGCCTTCACCACTGCATTAGCAGGAAGCTGGAGTTGGGAGTAAGGAGCCCGAACTGGGCATCAAACCCAGGCGCTGCAACGCTGGGTATGGGCATTCTGACTTCCAGGCCACATGTCTGCCTCCGAATGGGTCAGCTTCACTTTCCCTCACCTATTGATAAAATAGTGAGCCATGAGGTGGTGCTTTGGCCTGTGTTTAAGACACTGGTCGGGATGCCTGCATCACATATCAGACTGCCTGGGTCTGAGTGCCAGCCTGCTCCCAATTCCGACTCCCTGCTCATGCACAGCCTTGGAGACCGCAGGTGATGGCTGGAGCAGCTGAATCTCTGCCACTGAGTTCCCAGCTCTCAGCCTGGCCCAGATCCCTCCACTGCGGCATACGGGGAAGGAATCGGGGGTTGGAAACTTCTTGTCTGCCTCTCTCTGTTTCTTTACAAAGGTTACAGACAAAAATTGCTTCTTTTAGCTTGTTCAAGAAACAATCAATTAGCAAAGAAAAAAGATAACTAGAAATCTCAACATAATACAGTCAACTGGCAAACACACAACTATGAAAGCACTTAAATCAGAAACTTAAAATCTCATCTATATTAATGATAATGCAAACTCCTTTTGAAGTTTCAATCATAACACAATAGGAAAAATATTTACCAAAGCAACTAGTAATACGTTTTATTTAATTACCTAAAAAAACTTGAAAACCTCCCTATTGTACAAAATAGCCAAAATTCAAAATATGGAGTTTTAACATAAACTTTTAAAATAATTTTCTCTTTGAGAGGAAGCAAGAGAGAGAGAGAGGAAGAGAGAGAGAGAGAGAGACCTCCTATCCTAATGGTTTACTCAAGTGACCACTACAGGTGGCAGCTGAGAATTCAACTCAGATCTCTCACGTGGGTGGCAGGAACCCAATTGCTTGAGCCCTCAGCACTGCTTCCCAGGGTCTGCATCAGCAGGAAGGAGGCTGGAGTCAGGAACCAGAGGCAGGTATTGAGCCCAGGCACTTCCGTACGGGATGCAGATGTTTTAGTCACCAAAAGGCCAGCCATCGTGGATACGTTTAATAAAGAAAGCAGTGTCCTCTTTATTTACCTTTAAAGAAAGCTTTACAGTTGGTTTTCCATCTGTAATACACTTACATGACTCAAATATAAAAACAAAAAGACATACAAAAAGTGGTTTTACTCCCAGTATCCCATCCAAATCTAACCTGTTCCTCCTCACACTCTACGAGTGACCGTATTTATTCATTGGTTTTCTTTCTAGAGTTTGTTTTTACAAACACGAGCAAATACCTACGTAAATTACATCTTCTTCCTCTCACTAAAGGAAGTATCCTATATACTGCTCAGCACTTAAAAACCAGTATGCCATTAGAGAATGAATGTGCTGCAAGCATAATTTCAATACATGTATCTTCTGAGGCCTAGGCATAAATGTAAACAAAAAACCAAATTACAGTAACAGTGAACAAAATTTTAAAAAACTGTTATGTATTCTAAAGACTATTAAAAATTCTCATCCTCATCTAAATAATCCTCAATAGAGTTGGGTACGGAGGTCAGGCTAAGTCTGCCAAGCTACCCTAACTACCGCTATGAACCGGGACACTTAGACATCCCTAACCTCCACTGTGTACTTTCTGGGCCCGAGTTTTAAAGGACCTCTGCAAGTCTTTCTCCCGATATTTTCCAAGGCCTTATTTTATATTCAGGCCCCATTCCTCTCTATGGTTTCTTCCTTCTTAGAGGTTAAAAAGGAAAATAAGGATTTTTTTAAAAGATATTATGTTTTTTTGGAAAGATTTATTTTATTTATTTGAAAGGCAGAGTTACAGAGAGAAAGAGGCAGAGGCAGAGGCAGAGAGAGGTCTTCTATCTGCTGGTTCACTCCCCAGCTGGCCACAATGGCTGGAGCTGCGTCGATCCAAAGGAGCCAGGAGCTTCCTCTGGGTCTCCACGTGGGTGCAGGGGCTCAAGGCCTTGGCCATCTTCTGCTGCTTTCCCGGGCCATAGCAGAGAGCTGGATTGGAAGTGGAGCTCCCAGAACTTGAACTGGTACCCATATGGGATGCCAGCACTGCGGGCGGAGGCTTCACCCGCTGAGCCACAGCGCTGGCCCCAGACAAGGATTTAAAAACAGGCTGCGTCGGGCCGACGCTGTGGTGCAGCAGTTTAAAGCCCGGCCTGCAGTGCCAGCATCCCATATGGGCTCCAGTTTGAGTCCCAGCTGCTCCACTTCCAATCCAGCTCTCTGTTAGTGCACCCGGGAAAGTGGTGGAGGATGGCCCAAGACTTGGGCCCCTGCACCTACGTGGGAGACTGGAAGAAGCTCCTGGCCTTGGATTGGCTCAGCTCTCGCTGTTGTGGCCATTTGGGGAGTGAACCAGTGCATGGAAGACCTCTCTCCTTCTCTAACTCTGTATTTCAAATAAATAAATCTCTAACTCTTAAAAAAAAAAAAAAAGCTGCCTACAGTAGAAAAGAACAAAAGTTTCTTTCAGTTTCAGAAACACTACGGGCAAGCCAAGCCCCACCCCCCACCAAAAAACGAAAGACAGGTCAGAAAAGACCGGTGGGGGAAAAGCCACGTTAGAGGTTACAGCTTCAGTACGAATGTTTTACGAAACGCACAGCCAGCTACCTGGTCACTTACTTGGCTAACACTTTGGTGTGGGTATTGATAACGTTCAAGGCTTCCTTGAAACTTCCGTTCTGGATAAGGCACACCACTTTACAGTGCAGAGCAGTGACATCATCCTTGTTGATCTGCAGGACTGGAGAACAATTTTAGGAAAGTCATTTTTAACGCAATTCCTTTTTCACATTTTTATTAAATTTTTCCTTCCTCAAGAATCTACACTGCCAATTTTTTTTTGACAGGCAGAGTGGACAGTGAGAGAGAGAGACACAGAGAGAAAGGTCTTCCTTTACCATTGGTTCACCCTCCAGCGGCCGGCGCGCTGTGGCTGGAGCATGGTGCTGATCCGAAGCCGGGAGCCAGGTGCTTCTCCTGGTCTCCTATGTGGGTGCAGGGCCCAAGCACTTGGGCCATCCTCCACTGCACTCCCTGGCCACAGCAGAGAGCTGGACTGGAAGAGGGGCAACTGGGACAGAATCCGGCGCCCCGCACGGGACTAGAACCCGGTGTGCTGGCGCCACAAGGTGGAGGATTAGCCTACTGAGCCACAGCGTGGCCCTACACTGCCAATTTTAATGCATAGAAATGATAAGTCAAAACAGCAAAGAAAAAAATGACCAATTTGTGTTCTAACTTAAGTGAGAAAGTTATGGATTAGACTTGCAATGAGATCAAGTTTCCCGAGACACACAAACCAATAAAGTATAATGAAATAATGAAGCAAGAAAGAAGCATGCTATATCCTATGTACTCACACCTCATTACTACACAGAAAAGCAAAAAGATCATGAAGAATTTAGAAACCAAGGACAGGTTTGGAGCAAGCATGGTGTCTTGGGCAAATCATTTCACAGCCCAATCTGTTTTCTGATTTTCAAAATGAGTATTGAAAGCACGACCTGTTTTATGAGGTTATCAGGAAGATAAACGAAGGCAGCGTTGTCATGCCGCAGGTTAAACGGCTGTTTAGGACGCTGGCATCCCACACTGGAGTGACAGCTCAAACCCTGGCTACTCCGCTTCTGATCCAGCATCTTGCCAATGTACCTGGGAAGGCAGTGGATGATGACCCAGTACTTGGGTCCCTACCACCTTCATGGGAGATCCAGATGGAGTCCCAGGCTCCTGGCTTCAGCCTGATCTTGCTCAGCCTCAACTGCTGTGGGCATCTGGGGAGTGAACCAGCAGAGGGACGCTCTCTCCCTCTCACTCTGCCTTGTAAATACATACGGAATTTTGTTTCAAAAAAAGAACAAGAAATAAGAATATCTGGAAGAATCTTACAAAAACAATAGATCTTGCTGACAATATTTCCAAAAAAACCATTCAAAATTTCCCTTTTCAACCAAGATAACCAAAGAGAAATACAAGGAAGGACTCAGGTAGCCAAGTTTCAATGCTAACAGCTGTTCAGTGTCAAAATGCCCAGTCCTTGCCTCAGGGAAACAATGGGAGTCCAGTCCTCAGTCTCAGAGCCAAAGGTCTTTCTACCAGTCAAGAAAATAGGGGTGGGCATTCATTTGGCTTAGCAGTAAGTCTTTGCTCGGGACACTCACGTCCTACACTGGAGCCCCTGGGTTCAAGTCCTGGCTCCTCTGCTTGCCATCCCCCGTTCCTGCCAATGCCCATGCTGGGGGGCAGCAGATGATGGCACAAAAACACCTGGGTCCCTGTCCCGCACGTGGGGGACCTGGATGGAATTCCTAACTCCTGGTTTTAGCCAGGCCTAGTGCTGCCTGGCTGGTGTGCGCATTTGGGGAGTGAACCAGCAGACTAGGATTTCTCGCCATCTGTTTCTCTGTCTATGCCTTTCAAAAAAAAAGAAACCGCATACTGATGAACAAACTGCCTGGCACAGTATTGGTTGGAGGCCTAGCCAGAGGCTACAGTTAATTCAAACAAGTTAAGGAATCAAGTAATTTTAATTCATAACTATTTTCCAAAAGTGCATGCTGGGCACAATCACCACTCTTTGACACGGCAAGTGGTAGCTGAAAATTATTTATGTACATCCTCGTATGTCACTAAGATACGTTTAAGGGCACCACTGCTCTGTACAGCTGAGCCCTGTCTTTGTGATCACATTTCCAAACCTAACATACACAGGTTATATCCCGAGTAGAGAGCGCAGGAGCACAGCCAAGGGGATTAAAATGCATGATCAAGGATTAAAAAAACAAAAACAAAAACAAAACCACCGCGGGGAGCTTCGGAGCCTCCCGACGCGGGGCGCCCAGCGCAGGCCCAGCTCTCCCGTCCTGCCATCTTCCCACGCGGGCGCCCACGGCCCACGGCCCACGGCCCACGGCCCGGCTCGCGGGCGGCGGGGAGCCTCGGTCCGCGGGATCCGCAGGCCCGACGCCGCGAGCACCCGTCAGCACCAGCTTCGCAATTACGTGTCCCAGCGGGCCCCCGCCCCCGGCCGCGGCCCCGCGCAGCGCGCTGCCTCGCCGAGCGGTCCCGACCGCCGCACTCGCCGGGGCGAGGCTCCGACGCCGAGCGGGAGACGCGCAGAAGGCGGGCGTCGGAGGACAAGTCGCGGCTCCGGCGCCGAGCGGGAGACGCGCGGAAGGCGGGCGTCGGAGGACAAGTCGCGGCTCCGGCGCCGAGCGGGAGACGCGCAGAAGGCGGGCGTCGGAGGACAAGTCGCGGCTCCGGCGCCGAGCGGGAGACGCGCAGAAGGCGGGCGTCGGAGGACAAGTCGCGCAGCCGGCGGGCGCTGCGGTCTCTTTAAATCCCTACCTCGCTCCCCGCGGGGACACCGGGGGAAGTACACGTGGCGCTAAGCACCCCGCGACCCCGGGCCGGCCCGAGCCGCCGAGGGGCCGCGACCCGCCCCCGCCTGGCGCTCGGGGCCCGGCCCTGGGCTGGGGGGCGCGGGGGTCTCCCCAGCCCGCGTCTGCCCCGAGCGCTCGCGCGCGCCGGAAGCGGGCCGCATCCTCCCGCCAGCCCGAGCCGCCCCGGCGCCCGCGCGACACTCACTCTTGTTGACGGTCTTGAGAGCGCGCGTGAAGTCGCCGTTCTGGCCATAGCGGTTGACTTCGCTCCACAGCGCAGGCACCGACACCCCCCCGCTGCCGCCGCTCGCCATCTTGGAGGAGACGAGGGGCGGGGCGGCGCGACCTCTGCCCCGGAAGAGGATCTCGGAGGCTGCCAAGCCGGGAAGGAAGCCGGTGGTTGCTAAGCATCGCGGAGCCCACCGAGTCTTCGTCGCGGAGTTAGCTGCGGGGACGTAACCTTCTGGTCTCTAAAGTCTACAAATGTGCTGGAGGCTGTCCTCCTTTCCTGAGCCGGTGTGGAGGAAAGTAACGCACTGCCATGAGGGAATCAGGGTTTGCGAAGACCTTGAATAACTCAATGGAAGCAGGTAGTGGATGGGGCCGGTTCGAGTCCCAGCTGCTCGACTTCCGATCCAGCTCTCTGCTATGGCCTGGGAAGGCAGTGGAAGATGACCCAAGTCCTTAGGGCCCTGCACCCACGTGGGAGACCTGGAAGAAGCTCCTGCCTTTGCCGTCCTTTGGAGAGTGAACCAGTGGATGGAAGCTAGCTCTCCGTCTCTCCTAACTGCCTTTCAAACAGAATAAATCTTAAAAAAAAAAAAAAAAAAAAAAAAAAAAAAAAGCTGCCATTTCTTCTTCGTCCCCCACTCCAGCAAGCCCCCCTCCCCAATATTTACTTGAAAATCAGTTACAGAGGAAGAGAAGTATCATAGGTGCTGGTTCACTACTTAAATGGCTGGAACAGCTGCGGCTGGGCCAGGCCAAAGCCAAGAGCCTGGATCTCCTTTGGAATCCCCTGTATGGGTGTCAGGAGCCCAAGTATTGGGGCCATCTTCTGCTTCCCCAGGCGCATTCGCAGGGAGCTGTGGCATGAACTGGCTCATCTGGGAGGCCAGCTCCGCAGGCAGCTGCATAACCGGCCGCCCCAGCATGCCAGCTCCCAGCTCACTCCTTTTTATCCTCCATTATTTCTAAGAGTCATCTTTTAGGAAACCTTGGGCTTTACTGAATGGGGAACATTCTGGTTATGTCCTCTTACAAACCTCTATTTTTGAGTACTGTCATTCCAGGCCCGTGTCTGTCTGGACTATAGGTCTGTGGGGCCAGGGACCCTATTGCCTTGCTCAATATCCCTAGAATCTAGCACACTGCCTTCTGTGAGTACCTTACATAGTTGGGACTCAATAGTTTCCACCCGAGTTCCTGGAGGGCAGAAACTGTGTCCTGTTCCCAACTACGTTGTATGGTATCTGCTGAATTTCACATCTGGTCAGTGTAGGACAATGCAGAAACAGCACATGATGGTATAATCCTTGTGGACTAGTAAAAATCGCACTGTGAAATTGTGGTAGGTTTCAAGCCAGTTATGCCCACATTTCAGGGGTGGGAGTTCTAGATGACATCCAGTATAGCCAAGATCTCCTTGGGTAATTTTTCAGTTTTGCAGATTCCATTGGGTTCTCCAAAGATGTTTACAGTACATCCCAAAGTTAAGAGCTCCTGCCTTTGAACTGCTTTGCAAACTTCCCAAAACGATTTGAGAGTTGACATTTTTCTTTTAAGATGATTTCCCTTTTTTGAGATTTACTTGAAAGGCAGAGATCTTCTATCAGCTGGTTAACTTTTCACTTGCCCACTGACTGCCAAGGGTGGGCCAGGCAGGAGCCAGAAGTGAGAACTCTATTAGGTCTCCTTTGTGAGTGGCAAGGTCCCAAGTACTTGGGCCTCATCTGGTGCCTTCCCAGGCACACGAACAGGAAGCTGGATAGGAAGTGGAGGAGCTGTGACTCGAACTGGGCAATTCAAAGGGTGCTTTAACCTACTGCACCAAAACACCTACCTTGGATTTCTCTTTTTCTAAAAATATTTTTATTTGAAAAGGGGAGAGGGAAAGAGGTCCAACCCACTGGTTAACTTCCCAAATACTCCTAACAGCTCAAGCTGAGCCTAAGACCAACCAAAGCTGAGACCCAGGAACTCAATCCAGGTTTCCCATGTGGGTGGCAGGACCCAGGTATCTGAGCCACCAGTCTAATCAAAGCTTAAAAAACACATTTAGGTGGAGTCTTTGCCAGGTGAGAACAAAACCTGAAAGAGCATCCAGTGTGACCTCCCGGATACCATGAACTCAAAGTTTAATGATGTTAAAAACTCAAGTCTTTTTAAATCATTCTTGCAAAGTAGCACAAAATAGAGAACTGAATACTAGGCCAGCGCCGCGGCTCAATAGGCTAATCCTCTGTCTTGCAGCCCCGGCACACCGGGTTTTAGTCCCGGGAGGGAGCCCAATTCTGTCCTGGTTGCCCCTCTTCCAGGCCAGCTCTCTGCTATGGCCCGGGAGTGCAGTGGAGGATGGCCCAAGTCCTTGGGCCCTGCACCCCATGGGAGACCAGGATGAGTACCTGGCTCCTGCCATTGGATCAGTGCAGTGTGCCGGCTGCAGCACGCCGGCCGCAGCGGCCACTGGAGGGTCTTCCTTTTGAAGACCTTTCTCTCTGTCTCTCTCTCTCACTGTCCATTCTGTCAAAAAAAAAAAAAAAAAAAAAAGACTGAATACTACGAGTTTTATAATCCCCCATCTCTGGCAGATTAGCTAGGCACAGCTCATCAGAGCCTAGAAGTGTGAGGGAAATAAACTTTAAATTACGTTGTCTCCTATCCTGGAGCTCATGATCCAATAGGGAACTACCAGCGGCTGGAAGTTTTCATGCAGCCAAAGACGAAGCTCTAGTAACTAACAAATTTTAATGACATAAAACAGGCCTTACAGAAGGTACAGATGTGTGCAGTCCCAAACTCAGGAGGAAGACAAGTTGCCTTGAGGGAGTCACAGCAGCGAGCCTTAACTAAAGCCCATGGAGAGCCTTCAGGAGAGCCCACCAACCAATCTACTGCAATTTTCTAGGGGCAGGTCAGTAACTGGTATTTTCAAAGGAGTGTATTTTGTGCGAGAGCTTATGATAGAGGTCCTTCGACAAGCAACCTGGAAAAGGCTGGGCTGAGAATGGGAACTTGTCAGGCCAGGGTGGCATGAGGACAGAGGTTAATCAGAAATTAAACTGCATGGGTGATGAGCAAGATGGGAATGGACAGATGAAATCAGACTTCTGACTTGGGACAGTGAGTGTAGTGAGAGTTCCAGGCTTAGCAGAAGAATGAAGTAAGGAGCACTCTGGTTTTTATGGGGGGAGAGGGCTGCCCTTGAAAACAGACAAGGAGGAATGGACAGTCGAAAATACAACCTAGATGCACAGAGCTGCCAGGAAGGCTCCAGCCACCTAAGAAATATCACTGTAACCTTCTCAAACTTACGGGTTGAAATATGGAGGGTGAGTAGTATTTTATAAGAGGGCAATCAATCATTGTTGGCATAGTGAGACAACAGTGACATTTATGAAATGGAATTCTTTGGTTATGTTATGTACCTAACAATGTAGATAACAGACTAGCTTTTTAAATGTCCTTATAGCAATTCCACTACCTGTAAAGAATATTAAACATGAGATTTTCTAATCCATGAATCGAGAGGAGCAGCATTTATTCACCAGTAAATTTGGTTTTGATTCAACTCTACTGATTTTTTTAATTTCGCAGCTAAACCAAAAATTTAGTTTTTCCCCTACAAAATGCAATAGTGTTCTTTCTTATGAGTTAGATTCTCTGATTTTCTTGTCAGCCTGCTTCAAGGAAATCCACGTGTTCAATATGCTTGCTCGCAGTTTGGACCACACCAAATGGTTATTTAATCCGAATATCTGAGCAGCAAACTGAGCAGATCCTTCCGGAGAAAGAATGGTTGAACAGCTGACACCTGTTGGTTCAGAAAGGGAAAGACAATTCCGCTGTCAGTTAATAATGAGACCACCTTGCAAACCCTTTTATGCATAGATACATACAACACAGTAAGGTAAGACAATTAAAAGCTAATGTCCTTGTCTAAAATACAATCTGTGGAAGGAGTTTCTTTCCTGCTGAAGTGCCAAAATGATTAAAAGAAGAAATATTTTATGCACATCATTTTTCGTCATTCTCGTTGACTCTACGTGCAAAGGAATGCACGTTTTCCAATCTTTTCACATATAGTCTCCCTTTAAATACCTGGTAAATGTCAATAGAAGTAAAATTAGGAACAAGATAAATGGGTCGAAGTACCTATACTAGACAAACTTGAGGGTTTCAAAGTATTTTGATACAATTTCCTGGTTCATCTTTTTATCTGCATTTGAACTATTTTAACATTTTCTAAAAGCAAAAAGAAGTCAAATGCAAAGAGTAGTTTTAAGAAATCTGAAGTTATGGAGCTGCCGCCTGCAGTGCTACCATCATATGGGCACTGGTTTGAGTCCCAGCTGCTCCACTTCTAATCCAGCTCCCTGTTAAAGTGCCTGGGAAAGTAGCAGAAGATGGGCCAAGTGCTTGGGTCTCCCGTGTGGGAGACCCAGAAGAAACTCCTGGCTTTGACCTGGCCCAGCCCTTGTTGTCACGGCCATTTGGGGAGAGAAGCAAGAGACTGAAGATCTCTCTAGCTGTCTAACTCTGCCTTTCAAATAAATAAAGCTTAAAAACAAAACAAAAACCCCAAAACCTACTAAGCTATAAAAACGAGTAAGAAAAGTAACGTCCTTGTCTGCTCAGGCAGTTTGAGGTGACATTATGTTTACTGTACAAGAGTCAAGGAGTGGCTGGCTTAGAGATCTCAAAGCTGCATTTCCCCACTATTCTTGGAATTTATCAGGCTTTTTGACTCTCACTATCCATAGTAATAACAGAACAAAAGTGGAAGGTCCATTTACTAATTTGTATTAATTATCCAATGCAGCCTCTCCTACTGTAGTGCATTGGCTGTGCTGCTGACAAATGTTAGTGTCCTCAGCAGTTCATCTCTAAGAAAGAAATGGTACTAGCAGCTACCTGAGGAGATGATACAATGAATTCTAATACAGTGCATGGCAAGTACTCAGTGAACGTCAACTGTTATCTTTATTAGCATACTGAGTAGGGTGTTCCACTCAATCTGAAATTCTGCCTACTGCTCAGACTCCCTTCTGATACCAGCAAAGCTTGATTAGTGAAAAATCAGGTTATCTGGTGAGCATGAAAAGAAACAGACAGACATCAGGGTTTTTCACAGGCCACTGTAAAACTCA